TCGAAGAAACAGGTCACTGGGTCTCTCTCCACGAAAAAGATAAATAAAAGCAAATCCGGAAGAACCATTTCGATGCACCTTAAACTATATTACTATTTATTATGCTAACAAATTTCATATGAGCAATTATCAACGCCACTTGGCTAACTTGATGTGAAACACAAATCTGTTTAGAATAGATACTACGATTGATATCCCCTCTCGTGTGATCTCTAAGGTATATTTTATTAGTGGAAAAGATGGTGAGTAATATCGGAAGGGTGTCACGAGAACCAATACAACTTGATGCAACACCGGATGTTGTACTTGTAGAAAATCGCAAAGTATCGCGGTGTACCGTCATTCTAGATATTGTTGTTAGAAAAAGTATTTTAAAAAGCGCCTTATTTAATATTTGCATTTTAAATTAATTGTAAACCATACGCATTTCTCGTGACCTAGCATTTAATTTGTTAACTGTTTGCGTAATACCCGTCGAATACTTTTGTCAATTATTTACTTAATTGTATTGTTTTCACTACTTGTTTTGCCGAAGGCTACCCAGAACTGTTTCAGCGACACGTCATATAGTAAATTATCTAAATTAAAATACGCTCGCTTGTACCATAATGTTTGAATTTTTCAAAAACCGAAGTCATGTCCAACTGTCTGAACACAATAATATGATGGATGGAGATCGACGAGAAGTTTAAAAAATATTTATGTGACTGCTTGCTACTAGTGATAGAGTGTTGAGTTTTTTTTTAACTGTGCGCCCTACTGAAAACGGTCGCCTGCGGCAAACTCTCTGGCAAACACCGGCAGATTAATAGCAATTATATTTAACGAACAACTGTAGATTACCTATGGTCAACATCCGACTTCTGTTCAAACGTAGTAGATATGTCAAAACAACGTAATGATAATAATTATAGTTGGCTAGAGAAATCCAAGCGTGAACCGCACGATTGGCGTATTACACCCATGGTAATACAACCTAGAATCGCCATAACGAGGTGATATATTATGTTACTCTAGAACGTAATCGAATATTTAGAACGTGAAGAACCGTTTTGTTTTGGAAGCATTAGAAAACGTTCAGCGCTGTTTAAAATCGTTGTTGGGTTTTTTTTTTTTGGTGTGGATCGGTACAAGTTCAACGGCAACAAAAAAAACCACTAACATTTAACGCTCGCGTAAACGGTAACGTAAGAAGATGTCCAAGGCCAACTCTATTGTTCTTTAAACGGTAATTTTCATAACAACATGTCCGTAAACAGAGTGGAGTGACAACTTAAAAGTCATGATGTTTATCGGTCAAGAGGTTTTAGGTATATTGTATTTTTACGCAAACGTGCGTTAAGCGGTGATATTATGATGAAAAGATAAAAATTGCAAGAAACAAATAAACATCAGAAAATAATCAAAACCACTCGTTAAAAACTTAATTTGTTTTGAAATAAAATTAAGCGTTTTGGAAACATCACAAATTGTAATGCGTTTCTTGAAAAAATAAACTCCTTGGGTTCTTCGGGGCGTTTAATGGTTGCGGATATTACTAACAATCTTAAATTTAAAATAGAAAACAGTTGACTAATAATATCCTGTTATTACGCTATAGGTCAAGATGAAAACAAAAAATGACCAGAGTTTTTATGACTATAACGAACTGTGACCAATCGACATAAGACCTTAAAATACTTAACCAGCAACGTGTTGCACGACAGTTGCTGTCGTTGCGGCGGTGAATACTTTGTCTGTCACATCGTTATTGCAGGATACACATTACAGAGTTACATTTTATATTAAAGATTTTAATAAACAGATCCGCTAGGAATGCAACATCCGATGTTCCATTAGAAAATGTTGTGTTGATATTTTCTGTATCAAAGCAAATTACTCTCGAGACTCGACTACATCAAAATTAATATAATTTATTATACGAATGTCGCTTTTACTTTTTAATGGAATACATTTGAAAGGAGACGCGTTTTTCAGTACCTTTGCTCGGAAGTCATCCTATGCCTATGGAGAACGGAATCCCGCATTGATCACGGAGATGCGTTCTAATCGCATTTATACCTGTACCGTCGTGTTGTGGCTCATTATCATATGCTAAGTATAGAGAAAACGGACAATTAATCGCCACCTGTTAAAATCGCATCGCCATAAGGAACGAAGTAGAAATTAGCGACGATGGCTGCAGCGCGGCAATGACCCGCTATAAGTTTGGTGAACTCGGACAGGCGGAGGAAGAGCGTGCTGCCGGCGGCATCCGAAGGTCAAGGAGTACCGGTAGCGTTCGCTGTACTCGTATTATTTGCATCCTGCTACGTACGCCATGTATTAACGCCAAGTATAAGGTCAAAATCCGGATGAAGTCATAACCGGAACAATAACATACGTGTGATATATATAGCCGCCCACGATTACGTTTGTAAATCTGTTGTCTTTACAACGGAAAACACTGATTTGACCTACTTACTCCCATTAATGTGTTTTATTTATTGTTATCTCTTATTGACTTGACCCATCCACTTGGTATATTGGTATACTCAACTAATATCTAAAACTTATATATTTTATATATGCTAGCATCTAAACGAAATTAAATAACACTTTGAGTAATGCCAAGCAAAAATATAATGGAATTTTATAATTTCAGTTTTTCACTGTCGAACTGAGCTTTTATCAGTATTTCGATATTGCTGCTTTAATTGATTTGAATTTTGACTTGACACTCGAACAGTACAACGAGTGTTTAGCAACAACTGAACCGAGAGTGCACTGAAAAAATATGTTATCATTAGTTACGGGCATTGGCTGGTATCGATAATTTGTTGAAAATGTTGTACTGTCATAAGAATAGAGCGAAACATGTTTATCAATAAAAAAACGTCTAGCCAGACAAGCATGTATTTTCGATAGACGGTTCGAGTACAAAGATAAATTAGACGTGGTCAGATTATTGTATTATGTAATACAAAAAAAAAATGCTATGGAGATTTAAATACTCGGTCATCTTATATAAAAACGGTATTTTACTTTTCAAGATAACCGTATCCGGGCGGAAATTCGTTCACCGTATTAAATCGACCATTTTATTGCGGTTTTCAAAAATTGTAATTGTTTATTTTTTTTTGTCTTTGCCTTTTTGAAAAAGAAAAACCAACTCAGATCTCTCCCATAATGGCCTCGCGTTTCTTATGTCGCGCCGAATGACTCATGCGGGCATATTTGCATCTTATAACGTACCTAACAACGGGGTTCGGGCCGGCATTAAACTCTTCAAGACGTGTGTTGCGATTACACAGACAATGGTTAATTATTATGCCAACTCGTATATGGTATTCTGTGAACAATAATAATCGCATAAACGCCTTCTCGTGCCAGAACACGATAATTATTATCGCCACCGAGTTTTAATTCGTCGTTTACGGTAATAATCGCACACTTGCACGCGCAGAGAGTCGACGGAAACTCTTGCGGTATAACTGTACAAGAACTACATAAGTACATACTTGGTTACTTTGCGGTCAAGTAGTGTTATGTCCATTTTTAAACGTCGCGGTCGCGGCGCCGGCCACGTCTCACTTCTCTGAACCGACAATGAAAAACACAAACGAATAAAATAAAAATTATAAAAAAACCTCAAAATATTGAGTAATTTGTTTTATTTTATTTTTTTAAACCGACCGTTTCGTTGCTATAAACTGTCCGCGTCTTGGCGTCCCATTAGTGGATACCTCCCTCGACGGGGCTCAGTCGGAATTGCTGGAAAAAAAAACAAACAACTTACCTTCGAATACTAATCGAATCGACGGAATTCGCCCCGGAGTGCGTACAAACCATTCCAAACTGGTTTCAACGACTTAACGACCAAAGTCATTAGATTTTGGCCAAACGCAAATAGGAAAACAACAAGCGGACTCTGCGGAGTCTACCGGACATCGCGTATGAAACCTATCATTTTTTCGTTATACCGGACACGTTTTTTTTTTTAACGGATAAGACATTAGAAATACGATTAATTTCTTCCGTTCTTTGAAAAAAGTGTACTTTTTAAAATATGGCCCTAAAATGGTATGTAAAGTGTCTAGTTTTTTTTTTTGTTAGGCTTTGGTTAACGGATTTAGAATCGGTAGTGCGTGTATCCATTCACTTTGAACATAATATAAGAGCCTCGTGGCAGTAAAAAAAAAGTTGAAACCAAATACACACCGTTGCAAAAAGCTTGGTGAAAAAATCATTCACTACCGCCACCGCATACACCTTCTCTTTCGTCATGCGTGATTGCTTGGCGATTTCCTCCCAAAAAAAAGTGCTCTGTTATTATACTTACCGACTACGTGTACTACTGTAATTATACCCCTCGTACTTTATTTGCTTCTAACATAAAATTTTTAAAACCTCAAACCCGAGTTGTATGAAACCCATAATATATCCGCGAAAAGCCAAACTATAATTATTGTGCCTGTGGTAACAGTGGACATGATATATTTTAACTAGATCTTGAACGATTATACTATATTATAGTGGTTTATTAATTCAATACTTGTTACATAATGATTATATGTTGATTAAAAAAATCCAGTACATACAACTTTATGAGGTTACTTTAATAAATATAATTTACTAAAAAACGGAATAAATAAAGTGGCATTAGCCGTATTAGAACAATAGCATAAAGTAAAATTCACAAGTCAATGAAATCATAATATGAGGACTAGATAAATGGAGCATCGAATTACATTACACGAGCATCTGTAATATCTATAAATATGATATATCATTATTTTTTAACCCTATTTGTATATTGATTAGTGTTAGGTATCATTTTTCTGCCTAAACTTTGCCTGGAAAGGTTTTAACCGACTTGGATCGACGTGTGCCCTCTTAATCTTCGTGCGCCGTGACTTGGGGTCATATTATAATATTCATATCGTGTCATCGAAAGCGTAACACATCATGGTTTGTCGGCGAATGTGTCACTAATGCGTTTGTATTTTTGTGTGTTACAGGATTGCGGCGAAGGCGATGTCCTTGCAGATAATGCCGGTGACGGAAGACACGCCTCCCGACATGTTGGCCGGGGCAATGGATCTGAACGTGATACTGCCCAACGGTTCCGTGATGAAGATGAGCGTCGAGAGAAGGTCAGTACTTGCTGGGCAACTGTAATATTATTGTCTTGGTCGTTATGCTATCGTAGTCGTCAATGATTACATCATAACCGTATACATGGGTACCACCAACCCTTTTCTAATGTGTATTATCGTCTAAGTGTAACTTTGAGACGTTTTAGTTGCAAGACTAAAAAGTAAATTTGTATGGAAATGTTGGTTACCGTGTTCCTTGCCTTGCTCAGGAGACGCTCTGAACGAGTAAAACCACCACCTGTTTGGCACCGAAATAAAACCTCGCATACTAAATTTCTATATCGTTGATACTTTGAGACAACATAGAGATTTGGTTCTATTGTGCCCTGAATAATAAATTCATTTAGTTTTTACTAAATGTATGGAATGCTGCGGATGTATTTAGATAAGACGAATTTTCAAAATCTCGAAGGTAACTGAAAAAGAAAGGGCGAAATCGTTTTGTTTTTTTTTTTTAACACTACCGTTGAATTTAGTTCTGTATTTTTAAATGTAAATGAAATAATTCATAATCAATAAAATAATAGTATCCATTGCATGTTTGCGCAAAAGTAAAAAAATGTTACAACAGAGCAATATTTTTCTACTCGAATTAAGGTGCTTATTTTATTTTTAATTTGTGTCTCGCATGACGGTACTTGTAACAAAAAAAACACCCTCGTTACTTTTTTCTGCTTTTAAGCATCCTAGCCCCTACGCATCATTATTCACCTTGACAATAGTGTTTATATGTATCTGTTTACTCACCCTTTTAAGCTCTCGAGTGTTGTTAATTATATTTATAAAGGTCGTTAAGCACTTACACGTGCTACTATAATTTGCCATTGCAATAGCTTTATATCAGCTGTACTGGACGGTAAAATAGATTTAACCCGTGGACGTGGCTAATGTGTATAAGTATATATCAACAGAGAAAAAAAGGATAGATGAGCGTCAATTACACATTAATTCTATTTTTATATTATCTTTAAAATCGCATGGTGTGTTCATAGGATTTTCTAAGTTTCATATAATATCTTGATTTCCGGATAAACTGAATTTCCAAAAAAAAAAAGTAAACTGAGGAAAAGTCCATTAATGACAATCGGTAACACCATTTATGCGTCATAACTCTTATCGACAAAGTGCTAACATAAAATCTGCCTGCTCTAAATAAAAACTCTTCGAAAGATCTATTTTTTTTTTTATTTTAAAATGTAACCAGTCTGTAATGTTTCTTGATTTATTTGACACGAGAGAATAATTTCGAATAGCCTAGTTAATATTGTAACTAAAATGTATCACGAACAATATAAACACAAGCAGACAAGTGGTTGTGCTTGAAGAGTACTTACAAAGTACGCAGCTGTCACCATTGAAAAATAAAGTGAAAAAAGCACAATAGTTGCAAACGCTTTTAGAATAGTCTAAATCATTACATAGATGTTTGTCCTGTTGTGACAATAGTGGTATAGGTAGTTTAATGTAGTTGGATGGCGCGGCTTGCACCTAGACTGTGCTAGATCACATTTGCATAATAAAATACCGTTGTGCGTTCAAAACGTTAATCTTTGAACTCGCCATAATAGTATTGTATATATTATTGACATTACAGAAATTCAACATTTAAACGCATTTCCGATTCGCAACATTAAACTTTCGACCTATTGACACGGTTACAGAGCCTGCAATAATTCAAATCTTATAATACAAAGGTGTCACAAAGTATAGTGGGTATTCTACTGTATTGTATTATTTGTCGACCTTCGCGCAAACATCCGTGTGCGCTGTTTTATAAATGTATAATATTTTAATTATAAATGAATATCATTATTATCGATAACCGTCAACCGTGTGAACCTTAAATCTCTATTCTAACCCGTTATTCGTCTTGTTCGTTTTCCTAGGCCTGGCTACTGTGTTAAATAGATGTAGGGAAAAAAATTAAATTAAATGCACAAACGCACATTGTCAACTGCCGCCGGCGCCAAACAACCGCAATGACGTCTGGCGTGGTGAGCGTATCCGAAAAATAATTTCCATTTCTTCTCTTCTATAATATCAAACCATACGATATCCGTGTACACAATAGTATACTGTATCGTTTCGTTTTCTATGATAAAATCGACAACCTGTGATCTCGATTCTCGGCTCGCCTGTACCCGGTGTAGTCGAGTAAAAAAAAAAAAAGTGTACGGTCTAATGCCCTAAATACAAGCCTCTGGGCTGTACGGCGCGACAACGACAATAATAATAATAATAACGACGATGACGAGAGGAGGTTGTTATAGATTTTTGCATCCATTGTAATCACCGACACACTATAGTAACGTTTTGACGGGCACCACGTTATACATATTATTATGTGTGTGTGTGTGATGCTGATGCGCAAAACAAGTGCATGTTGTGATTTTTTGACACGGTATGGACGAGGCTTGGTCCTCTATTGTTTTTGACCATTCGCGTGGGCTAGGTTCATATACTCGCCTCTCGGTGGTACTGTACGGTTTTGATTGGTTAATAATGGCGATTGTTTTTATTTTTGTTTTTGTTTTTTAGCACTCCCATGATAGACTTGCTCGTGCAGATAACCACGGCACACAAGTTGTCGCCCGGAAGCCACGCTATACACGCCATCGGAGATCTCGGAGTCCTGCCCTACAAACCGAGCACTCCCATCGGTATGTGCATGTATTTTTATTGGGTGAGGGTGCGGTTACCCCTGGTTAAGTTATCAGGTGCTCGCCGGGGAAAACGGCTAACGTAAAAAGCTTTGTACAAAGCTAAGCTAAGTTTGTAACCGAGTTCAGATAACATCACAACGCGACACCAAGGCGAAAATATTATTGTTTTTTTTTTTTTATACGAGAAATTATTACTTTCTTGGCGCTCGCTGTGTTAACGACAATATGATTGACTGCATTGGATGTGTTTGTTTTTACTTTCGCGTCGGTTGTACACAAAACGTCCACCCAATATCCATATTAATGGCAAACAGACATTCTGTCTGGTAGTCTATTTCTCGTTCAAGGTCATGTACAAAACAATCGAAGCTCTCTCTTTCTCTCTAAACAAACATAAATAACACAATAGTGTACCGACGGGAAATCCGGCGAAAAAATAAGTCTTATTCGAGTCTCGTTTTCACTTTTGCCGGCGACAAATGAAGTGTTTTTTTTTTTTTTTATAAGGTCCACATCCAATAAATTAATTACGGCACTTTATTTGAACAGCTACTGAATTATTAACGTTTTAAGTTTGCGGTCAAGTCAACAGTCGTAACCGCGCTTCTTCAATTTAACCGTCGCAATAACAATACCGAGCAACAGGTACAATACCCAACGCGCACAAACACAATAGTATAAACTTGCTTTTTAATAATTACTCTGTAACCGTCGCGTCGCGCTGTGAAGGACGAAGGATGTATTATTTTTTTTTTATCAGATTTCCGTTTTCAATGTCGACGGATTCGTTTGTAGTGTTAGTGATATTGCACGAACTCGGTGACAAAAAATGCCATTTTGTTATTTTGACCTTTGCCCACCTTTTAATCGTATTCCATCTCTTGTTTTTGTTTATTCATATTATGATAATTCGTACAGGCACCTTAGATACGTGGACGGTGAACGTCGTGCCTAAAAACATTAGCAAGAACGGCAGATACCAGTCGGCCGTCAAGTGCGTGCCCAAACCGTTCGAACAGACTTTTCGCCTACAGGTAATTGAAAACAACAAAAGCAGAGTGGCCTGAATAAAATAATTATTATTAATTCGTGCTTCAGGTGCACTTGCCGAGAAATCAGCTGTACGTGGCCCGGATAAGTCCGAAGACGCAACTGTCCAGTATTCTGAAACAAGTGTGCTCCGAGAAGAACCTAGATCCGGCCAAGTATACTCTGAGAAAACCAGGTAATATAAGTAATATCATAGGTGGTATCATTAGAATAAACGGCAAAACCATAGTATTTTCTTGTGATCGATTGGTAGATCAACGCGGCTGTGGTTATACGATTTATAAAATATAATAACTATGTAAACGTTTCTAAACGTTTAACTGTAAACGTTTTTTGGCATGTCGAAAGAGGGAAGGAAAATGAGTTAAACGGGTGTGAGGAATCAGAAGAAGAAAACGCGGGTAAACGTGTTTTAAATAGAAAAAATACGGGGTTGTGTGAAGTGAATAAACAAAAAAAATGGTGTCGAATTGACCAACTAGTTTAAACCGCCCCATTTTTATGAGACACGGTGAAAAAGATAAGGGAAGCGAACACCACCTTTCTTCTATATTATTCTTTTGACGGGCAGCTCGACTTGCCCTTTTCCGTGTGCTGGATTTACACTACGAATTGCGTCGATAAAAATTAATTATTCTTGTTTTTATTTTTGTGCTCTCCATTATATTCGGCGCGGTTCACGGATGACGTCTGACGAAACAACAACTTATTAGCTACTATTATCGTTTTACGATTCCCAGTCACGGTATCGGCAATAACGTTTTGACTTTCGTTTATTATAAAAATAAAACAATTCACACCCGTGTACCCGTGTAGTACGTGCGCAGAGCTCCTCCTCGTTGCTCGTCGTGTAATCGCTTATCTTATCGGTTTAGCTACTACTCGTAAAAATAATAAAATAAAATAAAAAACAATTCCGTAGCGGTGAGCAATCGTCGTTTTTTTTTTTTTCATATTTTTAATGCCACGTTTGTTGGCGCGACTGACGCACGTAGCACAGCAAAAATAATTCGCTCGAACTTGGCCGTTACTTTTCGGTGCGCGTTTATAATATATTATACTATGACCATTTGGCGCTAATCGAAATCGTTTTCGCAGACAAACCGAACGAGCCCCTGGACTTGAACAAGACCCTGGTGGAGTACAAGCTGCAGCAATTGGCTCTGGTGTTGAACGCCAACCGCGCCCTGATCGGCGGCCTCTCCTCGGACGACATCATGTCCCGGACGCCCAAAAAGTTTTCGGTAAGTAACTGACGGTTGAACTTGAAAGAAAAAAAAACGTCTTGCTAACACGGGATGTTTACTTCGTTGGTGCTTCCTTTAGTGCGACGACAGCTTGAGCAGCGGCAGCCTGGGAGAGAGAAGCCTGAGCCCGACCCGGTCGGACGGATCGTCGGACACGCCTCGCAGCAGGTCACTCATGGTGAAGGTGTTGCCGTCCAGGCCGGTGCGGAAAAGGCGACTGGCGCCAAAACCGCCTTCGGTAAGCGTTCGTCGGCAATCGCACAACGTTACTGTTTACAATATAGGGTAGACCACCGTATCGGGTTTTTTGACATATTTTTTTTTATTTCCACAGCAACACCGGTACTCGGTGCCGGAACAGACGATGATATCGCATTCGCGAAACAGTTCCGACAGCAGCGGTTACCACGAGTCGTCGGTGCTCAGCGACGCGGTCGACTGCAAGTGAGTACAGTGTGTGATGACCCTAAAAGTGTGTGTACGCGCGAACCCTTTCCCACGTCGATTATTGTAGTGCTGTGTGCGATCGACTAATGTTTTGGTGTTTTCATTTTCCCCCATACAGCTCCAGACAATACCCTATGGGCAAAGCGTCTGGCCCGAGCTTGTCGCGTTCAATGACCAACCTGCAAGCGTGCGGACAGAATCAAAACCAGTTCTCGGTCACGCCTTTTACGTCCAACGGCATAAGTCAATCAAAACACTCGGCGTCTACCACGTCTCTGGTGTCCATACAAGGTGAGTAAGGGGTTGTTCGGCGGTTCGACCCCAGACGATAATAAATTGCGCAACTATCGTACCGAGAAACGCGACTAGTGCTTCTCGGAAGAGCTAGATTAAAAAAATTAAATTAAAAAAAAAAAAAACCATTAAAATAACTTACCTAATAGCCGCGGCGACGGTGTTGTAAACAGATAATACGCCATCAATAGTTTTGTCGATTTCGGCGTAATAAACTTTATGATATTATACCGAAGAGTTGGTAAACAATAGTAATACCATATATTTAGTATATATAAATACAGATATAGATAGTGACCGTCGGTAAACAACGTTCAAGTGTCGTGGCGCGTTTCGTAAGTAATGAAAACAGACTTGAGTTTTTGTAATCTCTTCGTGGCGAATCTACTGTAAATGATTATTATAATATCCGTAGAACGCTCTAACGTTGTTTTGTTCTGTAGAACGACTAACGAGTTACCATAAAAACTGCTCTTGAAATTATTGACTTTGGCTGCCAAAATAACAAACTGTACAATCCATGCGTGCCCAGTATATGACCGCAAGATATTTACAACTATTTCAATCGACATGTTGACTTCACGTTTAATCGGTGGGGTCCAGACACTTAACTTTAATGCGAAGTAAAATCTAAATATCAAAGAACCGCCTACCCACAAACGTGCTTTACCTTTTTAGGGGCTATAATGACATTGTTCATCAGTTCCCTCGTAATGACACCCACCCCCGTGAGTTCAAGTCGGAGGTGTTGCGTTAAATGTGTTCTTGATGGTTTTTCTTTTTTGCAGGTCGTAAGAAGAAGGCGGCTCCACCTCCTCCGCCGTCGGCCGCGGTCAAACCCAAGTTGGAACCTCCGCCCGAAGAACCGGAAGACCGCGAACCGGAAGTGCACCGGAAATCGCAGACTCTGCCGGCCAACGGCGGCGCGTGCAAGTCGAAAACCGCGTCCAGAATAGAGCTGAACAATAACGTAGTTGAACCACCCGACCTATCCCCGGCAACGTCCTCGCTGTCGTCGCTTAGCCGGTCCGACGTAGACAGAGGTACGTCGTCGCCCGCCGTGCTTAAGTACTCGAAAATGCCCTTGAGCTTCCTATCGGCCGACTCCGATCCACACCACTCGATCGGTGCCGACGACACCGGCTCCTCGACCCGTCTTAGCCCGGCCGGTAGTTGTCAAAAAACCGCAGAATCTTGGGACGCTTTTTTGAAACGACTCGACCAAGTGCTGGCCGGCAAACGAGAGGAGTACGTGTAGTCGTGGCGCCCTCGTGACACCCTGTATAACAGCTTGTCGTACCCGCTTCGAGTGGCCTAGTCAGAGCGCATGACGGTTTAAAAAAAAAACGTACGGGTCAGGCCAATGGCCACCCTGTGCAATTATCCTCTTGGACGTGTAAAAATTCTTTGAAAACAAACGAAAATACCGCTTGGAACTGCACGGAAAAAAATACACAGTTGGATCGACTAAAATTATACTTCCAAACATTTAGTTGGTTGAACTAATTGCTAACAACTTGTTGGCCTAACTATTTATTTAGTCATTCCGACCGTAATTTTAGTCGATCCGACTGTAATTTGTTTTCCGTCGCTTTTTTTTTGCCAACATTTTTTTTTTAAATTAAAATATTAACATAGCCCTCCCCCCTCCCCCGACAGAATCCTTATGCCGCCCTGACTAAGCCACTGTCCGCTTTCGCCCTCTTACTTTTAATATAATCTATTATAATACTTTAATACTGTGTGTATATAATAATAATATGTATTTAGTATAATAACAATAATATTAATATAGTTATTCTCGGTCGCTTATATGTAGCTCTTAGCTCTACCTATACCTATGTAAATATAAATATTGTTGAAACCCTATCCGTATAGATGTTGTGTTTGCCGAACCCTCGTCTCCCGTGTCCTCGGTATCTGTAGATTGTAGTAGACAAGCTCCTCTGGCAAAGAATGCACCGAGAACCAAAAGGCCGGCGCCTAGGCCACCGGCACGGTCTTCGTCGATAGGTCGTCAGTCGGAGCCCCAGTCTGCCTCGGCATCGCCTCTACGGTTACCTTCAGGTGCTTTTATTTTAATTTAATATTATCATAATTAATCTTCTTGTTTTCTTCTTCTTCTTCTATTTGTTTTACAATAATTCGCTACAACGCTTTGACATACGCTCGAGGTGACGGGTATAACACCGCCGCGGGTGGTTAACTAACACCGCGGCGGGTGTACATAATAATATTGTATATTAAAGAATAAATAATAAATAACACTAATATAATGTTGTTTAATCGCCGGTTATGTAGGCGACGGCGTTTTGGGAAATTCGCAATGCGTCCGAACCCCCCCCCCCTCTCCCATTTGCCCGTGTGGACTGTGCAAGGTGGTCCGATATAAAGGCTTGGGTAAAATGTAAGTGTCCATACTTAAATCAAATAAGAAAAATTGTACAGAATTGGTGTATTTAGGTTTTGATTCGAAGAGCAAAAAAATTACTTCACACCAGAAAGTTGTGTTAACACTAAATCCCAATCCATTAGTAACCCTAAACGCAGACATGAAAGCGGACACTCTGAAGACAAGTGTCGAACATTAATCGAGGAGAAATGTTTTTTTATTTTCGTTATTCAATTTAAAAGAGTAGTTTTCTAGGTAGACCTTTTGAAGTCAAATTGCAACCTAAGTATTTGATTTACCTGTTAAATGTACAATAATGGAGTAGTGATTATTTTAGAAAAAAATATAATAATTTTCTCGTTAACGACGAATAAATTTACAAATATATTATTCACAACGGCTAATGTAACAAGAAGCTCGGCCCACGTCCCACGGCTTTATTGACGGTGCTTCGCGACGCAGCGGGTTTCCCTCGGTCGCCGCGCAATGTTTAAGAAGCTTTTTTTTTTTTTTTGGTGCCAACGGCGACCACGTTTTCCGACCTTAACCGTTGGGCTTGTTCGTTTTGTCCAGGTTGTTCGACGGGCGACGAAGACGAACTGCGCATGGACGACGAGGAGATCGACAGGATATTCGGCGACGCCACCGACGGGTACGACAGCCCGTCCGGCACGCCGGCCGCCAAAGACGACATCGAATGGGAGTACAAGCTTCCGGACCCGCCGACGGCTTTCAGGGACCACCAACGGCGTTCGCCCACCGTCACCGCGTTCGACACCGTCACCATAGGCGCGCTGTCCACGGACGGTACCATTGGCGACGCGTCCGCGACGGCCGTCACCGTTGTTGAAGAAGAAGAAGTAAAAGAGGAAGCTATCAGGCCGGAGAGCGGCCTCGAGAAAACTGTTGTGGTTGTCGACGAATACGTGCATTCGTGTTTCCTGCAGGATTCGGGCGTCGGGTCGGACGACTCGTCGCTGCCGTCCAGTTGTGAAGAGAAGCTGACGGCTCACGCGGACGAAAAATTGTCGTCCGCCAAGATCGCCGAACCCGCGACCAACGACGCGTCGGCCGCCAAGAAGAAACTGAACAACTTCAAAATCGTTGCGTACGACGATGATTGCTGCGGCAGCAGGCCCACCGAGATATTCTGCGACGATTCCGTGAAAACTTGGAAGACGACGCAGAAGGCCAGGGAGGCCAATCCCGCGTACAACGCCACCGCCGCCGGCAAGACGTCTACGGTCAGCAGACGCAATTCGTTCAACTCGACGGGCGTCCGACCGCCACTGGTGTCGGCCGCCGGCCCGGTCACGGTCAAAAGGAGCACGTCCCATATAAGCCTGTTGAGCGGCAACATAAAACCGTGGAATCGGTTGGCCAAACACCACTACATCGGCCGTACGTACTCAACGGAACCGCTGGACTATGATGACCGGCCTCTGGCCCGGAGATCGTACAGCGTGGACGACATAACGGAAGGTCAGTGGGATAATTTTCGAGTTTCTCGAGTCGTTCAACGACTTCACAAACGCTTTGGTGTTTCAGATGCGCGAGAGAGCAGTACAGACGAGCAAACGCCCAAAACTGTGAACGAGCCTACGCTAGAACAAACGTCACCGCTGCACTCTCTACAGGTAAGACCAGCGTCACACAATAAATCACAGTGGCAGTGGTAGAATTTTGAAAAATAAAACTGTTTTAGGTATTAAGAACTATTCTACCGCAGTTGCAAGAGCACCAACCCAAAGAATACGAACAAAAAACGACGAGTTCCAAGTGAGTAATCCTTATGTGTACATCATCATTTTTTAGGATAGTATTTTATGAAATTGAAAAACATTATGTTGCTCATCCCATTATAATGATTGTTTCTTTTAAAACGAAGTTTCAGACTTGCCGACGACAAATCGACTGCTGTTATACTCGACGACGACGACGACTTCCGGTCTAGTTGGAAGTTTAACGCTAATAATCAAAAAAGAGAAGAAGAAATGGTCGTTGAACAAACAAAGGAAACAACGTCACCATTCGTCACACCCGCCGTGGACAACGTTATTGCGTCCCACGTCCAGAAGACGGAGGTGACCGATGTAGAAAACCGTTTACGGCCGGCAACGTCGACCGTTACTCGGGACGCAGAAACCCGTAATAAACCAGATTCCGGCAAATTCGCTTACGCCGGTCCACCCAAAATCAGCCTGTCCACGTGGAACGAACGTCCCAAGAGACAGGTGAGCATCAAGACGGACAGGGACTACGTGATCGGCGGCCTCAGACAGAGGTTCCAACAGAACGAAAACGACGGCCAACGACCTTGGGTGGCATTCAAAGGACAGGCGGACAAGAAACCTATGGCAGCCGTCTCGCCGTCGACCGCGGCCGTGCCAGACTCGTCGGTGTCCCGAGTGCCTGTGGTCAAGTCGGTGGAGCTAAAAAAACCGTACGCCGAACAGCTGCAAATACCGCCGGCGCTGGCGTTGTCCGAAGTCATCAAAGCTCAGGCCAAGCTCAGCAACGGTTACGGCGGCGGCGTCGGTTGCCAGCAGAACCGTAGCAGCGAAGACCGCGTCAAGCCTTGTCCGGCGGCCCCCACGTTCGGCGAGCTCAAATCGTCGAGGAACTGCGTGCGTCCCGTGCTCAAGAAGCCTCAGCCGTCGTTCGGGATTAAAGGTTGTCCCGAACAAGAAGACCCGCGGCAGAATCTACTGGAAGCCATCAAGGCGTTCGGCGGCCGCGACAACCTGAGAAAGATCAGGGCCTGATCGGGGCGCGCCTTTTTTTTTCTTACAACGCCAAACGCCAGTTAAGGTCAAAGCTCGTCGAGCTTGGTGTTTTCAACAATCAAAATTCTTAAGGACCTACGCTATTACTGTAAACGTGCACACTTGCTGCGTCGTCGTCGAAATAAAACAGGCGGTGTGTTTGTTTCCGTTGCGGTTTTTCCGTGTTTCCGTTCAAGTCGAAACACGGCTACAAAAACGCTATTTTCTATCGCCAGTACTGACCTAAAGGCGACCCTACCCTAAACCCTAAATAAGGTCAAAAATCGTTATTGTTTTTTTTTTTTTGTTATAGTATCATCCTTATCCCCCCCCCCTCCAACCTGCTGTATAGTATGCTGAAATAACTGAATTCAACTCCTACTGAAATCCTAATGTAAAACGATTAATAAAATAATATATAATATAATCTATTTACCTCTAACATAATATAATATGGACAAAACATTTAGTGACCTTTCTTTAATTATTATTAGTATATTTACCTTATTATTATTAAACGTTATTTAACTGTTTGCTCAATATTTCTATTTAAAAAAAAACCCTCTTTAAACGTCATGGCGGTTTTTTTTTATTTTTTTTAGATGCTACACCTATTATAGTTATTGAATAATAATTCTTTAGCCAAAAATATAATTTAACATTATTTGTATAAATAAATACAATAGTATAGTAAATTATAATATCAATGATAATTCGCAAAGTAGTCTACAGAACGCGTTATTTGTGTAAAGCGCTTCTGTGCGATTTTCAATAAGATTCTAAAAGTAATTATTAGATATTGTATTAGAGCCGATGATAAATCAACGGTCATTGTTATTTATATAAATATATATTTCATTATTATTTTAATATATATTTTTTTATTTTTGCTCTTTAATGTATTTGGCTAACAACATAAAATATAACCCACATTACAATTTATTTATTAATTATTATATTTGATTACTATTAAATATATACTAATACGAGTTATTCAGTAATTTTTGGTGTGTAAATTATAAAAACGGGAAATATTATTCGAATCCGATGTATTACGAACTAAACATTATAACTTGTAAATTTTTATTATTATCTTAATATGTTTTATTGTTTGTGTTTTGTAAATAAACAAAATGTACTCTGTTGTTTAAAATGGTCTGTCGAAATGTCTGTCTCTTTCTCTCTCTCCTATCCTTAAACATATGATCCAGAGAAACTGAAGATCATATTATCTGAGTTATGCAAAAAAAAACAATAAAATACTTTTAATTACAAAAAGAGAAAATTTATGACAACATTATTTTTATATAAATATATATTATTTTAAGTTAGTTATATAAATACACGCCACTTAAGTTAATAAAAACAGTAAAAGTGTACTTTAGGTATGTTAAACACATATAATTACAGAGATTCCGTAAGACTTAACTATACGAACCAAATGAATATCATAGTTCTAAAACATTTTCAATTGTTGCAACTAAACAAACAAAATGCTGTTGTGTTAGGTAAAAACGACAATATTTTATACTCTTCAAATTATTACGTTAAATGTTGAACACTACTCGTAACAACTATGTCATAGTTAAATATAAACATTGTTATGTGTAAAGTTTACTTTTAAACATATCGTAATCTTATCTAAAAAACAGTAAACACTCAAGTCCAAAATTACAGTATACCAAATAGAATAATATTTATTTATTCATTAAGATAAGAATTCATAGGTATAAATCATATTACTGTTTTCTAAGTGTTTCGAGTAACGATTGCAACCATTTAAATTGGATGTCTACAACACAGTGTACAATTATAACATGCCTTTTTCATACCTTTTATTACAAAGAAATTAAATTAGATGCGATTGTTTAATGAAACCTAAATGTGAAATAAGATAAACACTTGACACGCTACTAAAACTTCAATCAATTTATTTTACTATTTTCCAAATGTTTTATTAAATGTTATAAACAAATACACAATAAGAACACGTGTTGTTTCTTTGTTTAGAATTTATTGAAAATGTATCACCGAAAAAAAAAAAAAAAACCGATCATATACTAGGCTACATTCATCATTTAAATTTGGTAATGGGAATAATGAACATTTTCGTTTAAAGATTACATTAAAGTTCGCCTTTAAGAGTAGCAATCAGCTCGCCGGCTTCTTTGAGTTCTTTTATTATGTCTAACCCGCCGATCAGCGATCCTTTCACGTAAACTTGAGGATAGGTCGGCCATTCGGAAAACACTTTGAGTCCCTGTCGTACTTCTTCGTCAGACAAAATATCAAATGTGTCGTAATCAATCCTGGTGCAAAAGATACAATTAGATTTAAATTTAAATATCGGAATACTATTAACTAATTCCGTGTGTTAAATTTACACTCACCCCGTTTGGTTTAAGATTTGTAGCAATTGGTTACTAAATCCGCAGCGAGCCATTTGTTTGTTACCTTTTATAAACACCATAACGTTAGCTTTGTTGGTAAGCGATTTTAGTCTACAATAAAACAAAACTGAAATCAGACAACTAGAAATAATTAGACAACTGAATGGATAACAACAAATGTTAAAAAATAAAATATATTCATACTGAATTCTTGTTGTCATTGCTTTAAATTCATCTAACGGCATCATGACAAACAAAAAAAAATACTTACCGTTCATTGAGATCAGTTTTACTGCTCTTTGGTTTTAACAATTCGTCGAGTTCGCCGCTATCTTTTAGTTCCTTTACAATGTCTAATCCTCCAATCAATTCGCCTTTTATGTACAACTAAAAAATAAGATAGTAGAATATTGTTTATTTTATCTAAAGTCGTACGATATCTTACCTGTGGATAGGTAGGCCAGTTGGAATAGATTTTCAATTGTTCGCGTACGACATTGTCTTGTAGTATATCAAACGTACTGAATTCGGCTCCGATTTCTTTCAGCAGATTAACAATTGCAGTGCTAAACTTACATTTAGGCTCAGACTTAGATCCTTTCATAAATAACATAACTGGTGCCGAATTTATTAGTGATTTTAATCTCAAAGATATGTCTTCGCTTTTTTTATCACTATTTTGCCCGCATTTTGTCAACTACAAAATTGAACAACCAACACATTATACATGATTTTTTTTAAAATTCAACTTGAAATTTGTACCAATGATTGAATTTTTTTGTTTAATTGAATAGCATCAGCTCCATCCAGTGCATCCACTTGAACACCATTAGAAAATAATATAAATTTTGGCACAGCAGAAACATTGTACTTCATTGACACTTCAGCTAAATCTTCAGCCAAACATTTCCCGAATCTCACATTCTAAAATATACGATTATAGTTTTGTTAAAATTAGGAGTACACCTTTAATAATGTTATTAATTACCTTAAATTCGGACGTCAAATCACCGAGAAGCCCATTCATGTGTTGACATGGCTCTGACCAGTCGGCATAAAAATGCACGATTGATAAACCGCTCGATCTGATTGTAAAATTGAAACATTTAGGTTTAAAATGCAAGTATGACGATTAGTACACTAATTATTGACTTACTTAAAGGCATCAAATTCTTTTTCAGATGTGATTGCAGTTACCATCGTTTTTGTTCTTGTACAGACAATTAAAAAACTTTAAGGAATACCAAAATACCATATAAACCTAGAACAATAATCTCTACTAGAATTAACGGTTTTTTTTATAAAAATATATTTTGAAATTATCAATCTCAAACAGAAATAAATCTTCACTTCGTGACCGCTCAACCCAAGTCTCAAATCTTAATTTTCATTAACAGACAACAATTTTACAATGTTATTATCTCTTATCTATAAATGTATATAGTCTGTTACCAGCTACCAGTTACTACTTTAGATGTACACGAGCAACAACCAAGGTTTATAAATTATCCATATATGTAGATTATAAACCTTCAGCAACAACCATAGACCTATAAAGATTAACTAATAATCCTATAAACCTCCTAACAGACCTATAAAGATTTCTTAATAGGTCTATGGCTACAACAGCTAGATAGAAGTGATAACTGATAACTAAATACTAATCTTTGAAATTTGACAAGACAGGCAAATTTTTTTTTATTTTCAGTAAATTATATTACTTATAGTTATTACCTATATTTAGTGAAGGATAAACCACAACCAAAAATCTAGTCGTCCAAATTTTATTATAGATAAATCTGTTTACTCTATGCCATAAATAACTTGTGTGGAAAGCACGAACTAAGGTCTTGATGGAAAGTCTTAATAGCAGTGCTATATATATATATATTGTATAAGATAAAATCCTATTCTGTAAAATAAATAGAATAACGCAGTTATTAGTTATTGCTTATTTTTCTGACGAACCTAAATATTTTTTCCACTGACTTTTTAGTAGGTAACATAAAAATTGAAATCCTCCATGGCCGTTCTCATCAGTTAACCTACACTACACAAATTAACATTAATATTAATTTATAACCGAATGTAATACGTGTATACAGTTTATTGTATAAGGTTTAAAGTTAAGTATATTTAATTAATACCATAATTATTGGCTTAACTATACTTAGCATAATTTTAATTGCTTGTTAACTTTTTACTATACTATTCACTTCAAGTTAATAAAACTTTTTAAATTGACATTTATGTTTGTTGGAAATTAGATTTTTTTTTACCTATTTCATACACACATTTTGTTATTATATTCATAAAGGTTACAATACAAATAATTTAAAATGTCCGTTACAAATATCTGTTTCAATCTATTTCATACATTGTTTAATAGTCTTCATATAAGTTACAATTCAAATAAAATGTGAATACCTATCCAACATGCTGTACTCAAAGAAACTATATAGTTTTATGTTTTTAACACCAAATGTAATAAATTGAAATAGTAAAATAAATAATGCAAATATAAATGTAAAATGGACAGTTAAATAGGCCAATAAAAATAAATGCACGGTATTTTATGATTAGACATGATTTTTTTATATACGACGGTTCCATTGGTTTTTTTTTTTTTTACAATCTTAATAGAAACAGGAATTTTTTTTATCAACTACATGGATAAAATATCTTAATATAGATACTGTAGTTACTTGAAAAAAAAAAAATTCACAGTTAAGTATTAACCAAATTAAACTATATCTATCGGTATTTTACAAGTATGGTTTACGAACAAACAGCAGTGTTATTTACTAAATAATATCACACTAAAATAAACAAAATTAAAATTAACCCTTAGTTGGTTGTGCGGGGTCTAATAGACCCCTTGGGAAAGGGGTCCTTAATAGGCCCCTTTGAAAGTTTGACCAATCAAGGGTTAAGAACAAATTATTATTTCTAAAACAAAGTTTTAACAAAAGATAAATACTTAATTAAAGAACATGGTTGGAATGAATGATTATTCAGCGACATTTATAGAGATGGTTTTGCCTTTGGGATCGTCAAACCTATCCATGGTTTTGATGTCCATGATCATCATGATACCCCACGTAACAATAAACAACATCAAAGCAGTCACGAATAACCCTGCCAAAATTGGTGGTGTGAAGAACGCATCTTGATCTTGGGGCTCGCTAAACTTAGCTTTTCCTGACGATGGTGTATTCATCCACGGTTGAACCTATAGAAACAAAGTTTATAGAGTTCATTTGAATTATTATTTTCTTAACTTTTTAAAACAAACATAATAGCTCTTTTATTTAATAATGAATACATAAATCTGTAAACCCTAATGCTACTGACCTGGAATTTGCCGTTGAACTTCAGTACAACTGAATTGTTGGAGAACACAACCGGTCCTTCTGAGAAGTAAGATAAGTCTTGTAGAGCACCAATTGAATTCTGTGGTGACAACAAAGCGTTGTTGTTAAGCCCTTCAAATTCAATATTTTTCAATTCCCAAGTGAAAGATTGTTTTTCAAAGCGAAAACGTATAGTAACTTTTGTTCCGTTGGCCAAAAATGATTTGATTACTTTTAACAAGGAGTCACGAGAATCGTCTAAAATTACCTAGATACGGAAATGCATAAATTGTTAAGCACGGAAACATACAAGAAAAAAACCGATCAAAAATCAAATGTCTACCTCGGTATTTGTATCTTTGAGATCAGTAGCAGGTCCGTCATTGATTGATAACGTCGGATAGCTTGACGAGTATATTAACGCTTTGCCTTTTCCGTCCAAAACCAATGGATTACTGTCATCAAGAGCCATCAAATGCCTTGCTACTAAATGATGGACGATGTCATTTGATTCGATCCAAGAGTTCCGCTTGCCAGTGAACAACCCAATGACGTTTTCATATTTTTCACATATTTTTTCAAACGACTGCACTATTTTTGAATCGTGTCTACTCAACATTTCTTGTCGATTATCAGACGATTTGGCATCTTCCAGTTGTGTAGATATTACCAATTTATCGAGATTTGGCAATACACCGTCATCCTTAAAATCTTCAAAAAAATATCCGTTCTCCCTTAACTTTTGAATAGCTTCATTGGGCTGAAAAACAGAAGGGATAAAACGACGATCTACAAACGCCTGCAGCAATGGGAAAGCACTTTGTCCATCAGTTCCTGAAATAATTTAATAATAATTATTAGACTTTTTTTTTCAATAATATTTGTAAAATAAATAACTTCAATTTGAAATACTAATTTAATTATAAAATATTTTAATATACATTATAAACAGTTGGTAAAAAAAATAATAATTTGATTATATTCACTAACAATTAAACCATAAATTCATAGTTTAATAATGACCTAACCAATCAAGCTTCTGACCACACCTAATGTTTTTACCTGTGTTGAAATCACAATTATTTGTTTGTGTCAACAAAATAAATATTGATTTTTTAACTCACCTCTCCACCTGAAGTCTTCAAGACTAAGTGAATGCTCGCTGAACAAAGCTAGTTTCACTTTGGTACTGGACAATTTTACAAGCAAGTCGAAAAATTCTTCATTGCTCATTGCATGTTGATATTTGGCCATAGCGTCCAAATCTGTTTGACCGCAAGAAAAAAACATCACCGGCACCTGATTTACCGATGATGTGTGCACACATACCAACGATCCGAATAGTACAAATAATAACGGGTAGTTCGCCATGTTAAATGGATAAATTATTTTAATTTGAAATAACTAAAAATACTAACGAGTCATAATTTCAATCTCTCCTGCAAAATTAAAATTTGCTCTACCTTCCACTGATAAGAATAGTAGAGTAGGAATTGTACAATCGATGGGAAGGAAACGCCCGGACGAACAGTGTGACCATATCTGTAAATTATATTGTTTTTTTTGTATAACATTTATGTAGAAAAAAATGTATTATATAATAAAAAAAATTTCTTCTGCGAGAAATCAGTCAAGCCAATTTTAGGAAACCTTGTATTTTTATATATTGAATTTGAATTCATAAAAAAAATCTGATTTAAAACACTAAAAAATCTCATTATCGCGAAAATTGGATTGGTTAAAACCACACAACGATAAAAATTGATTAAAAACGGTTTTTACCCAATAACAATACCAATATTTTTTTCAAATTTCTCGTAACTTTTTTTTTAAAATACATTTTAGTGACAAATTGACTAATTTGTCAAAAATATGTATGGTTTTTCTCGATCGAGACACTTGCAATAACTGTTTGACATAACCGTGCTATTTTTAATTATCATATTGGTAAATTGCAATTAACCTCTAGTGATACTTTTGTAATGATACTTTGTTTCAAAAAAATACTTTGACTGTGCGTCAGCGAAAAAAACAAAAAGAACTACATTGTAATTTATTCATTCGTTATATTAATTTTAATATTAAATTATTAACAATATAAAAAACTATAAACTGGTTCGTACCCAAAAGGCGTACATCACAACTTACATAAGTTTTTTTAGTACATAAAATATATATTTTAATCAATAATAGAATTCATTGTTAATATTTGTTTAGATTTTCTTCTATAATATAAAAATAAATATTATTAATAATAAACATATATAAAAAAAATACATACATATATCTACACATCTTCTTTTCAACTACTTTAAACTAAAGATGATTTATTAATTAATCATTATAATAACATAAAGTATTAGCGTAATATAATACAATACAATTTTTGTGTAGTTATTTAACTACTAATTAAGCTGAAATTTTATTTTTCCCAGTTTTTTCTCTCACGTGGCTCATTGTAAATATATTATTTTCCATAAAAAAAAAAACAATATTATTTCAGTCTTGGCTATGTCAAACACTGGTTGTAAAAATGATTTGATCTAACTTGTGAATTATTTCTCTTCTGTCCTAAACCAAATTAGAAAATTATATTAATACATTAATAACAAAATTGATTTTTATTGTTAAATATACTACGAGTAACAAAAGTGTATGTTAACAGTTATAAAAATTGAGAAAATATGTGTATCGAGAGTTACTTGATTTGATGTCATACTAACAATTAATATTATTATATTTTTGATTGTCCTCTATCAAAACTAGTTAATCCAAGTAAATTTTGGTGGTGATTGGTGTTAGTGTAATAGAATATTGATAAAGATTATTTGGTTTTTATACTATTATTGAAAGGTAAAAGTGAAATTAATGAAAATATGTGTACTTTTTCCAAGAGAAACACTTGATGCACTCAATACTTGTAGAGATTCAGAAAAACGTTTAGGTTGTATCTGTAAATTTAAATATGATATTTATTTAAAATGAATTAAACGTGTACAAATTTTAATTTACCCACCATTAGATCTGGATTCTAAAAGCCTTTCCAGTTTTACCTTGACCGGTAAAAGTTTATATTTCATTTCTTGTTCGGCAACCCAATGGCTAGATGTTGTAATTTCATTGCGATTATTATTATTTGGCGTTGTAGATATCTCTTCTAGATTGCTATTACTTTTATTTGGCCGACTGTAAATTATATTTGATTTGATGTCAGTTATCTTATCATTTTCATACAAAACAGCCATCATTTCATTTATGTTTCTTCCGTTTTGTGTGCCGTTCCCACCACCTACAGCTTCGTGTTGACTTTTCAGCCATGTAATAAATTGTTGTTTAGCTTGTTCAAGGTGCTGTTTGACCTGTTCGTACCCAAAACAAACTCGAGCTTCTTCATCGGTAAACCCATAAAACTCTTCATCGCCTTTTAATTTAACCACTTCAGCATATACTTTCTCTCGATTTTTACATGGAATCACTTCTGTGGGAGCAAAACCTTCGAATTTCCATGTGTCCACAATGTAATTGTCAAGTAAATTTTTCAAATTTAAATAGTTTTGACAAGGTACAGCTTGTGATTCAGTAAACCCTATAAAATCATTAAGCACTTCAGAATCATTCACTACTGAACATTGTACGCTTGTAGAATTAGTTACAATGGTTTTTGTTTCAGAACCTACATGGTTGTCAATTTTTACATTATTGCTTTTACATTGAACGTTTTTTTGAAAAATATCAATTTCATTCAAAAACGTAATGTTTTTCGACGACCTAACTTTTTTACTCGTGAATTCAACCCCGGTACTGGATTTCCTTTTATATTTATTTAACCCAACTTTCTTCAATTTTAATATCATACCTACTTTGTTAGGTGTAGGAATTTCGTTCAAATAATTTAACTCCTTAGGTGATTGAATAGTTTTAGTAGTCAATATATTGTTTAACACAGTTATCTTATCTTTATCCATGGAGACGTCAGAAATATCAAAAGCGTTACTAGTTTTTATATCACAGTTCAATTGTTCTATTTTTTGCAACGGGTTTTTACATTTAAAGACTTCCTTTACACTTATATTTTCATCCTGACATTTTACTGTGTCCGTTAGGTCTTTCTCTTTTAAATCGGAAGAGATGAATACATTTCTTAAAATAGACGAGTCTGAAGAAGGAATTCTAGATTTTTTTTCAATATTATCTTGGGAATCAACAAGCTCATTGATTTCTGTTATTTTCTCAATTTTTTGTTCTAGTGGGAAATCAGAAATACTTTTGACTGGATTGTTCTCACCGTTTTTTTCGCTTGTTACAACAACATTTAATTTATTATGTCTACTTAAAATATCTTTATGTGGCTCCTCTGTCTTTTTTGTATAGTCATTCAATTCTAACAAATCTTCAGGAATTTCAGTTGAAGCATTCTGCATTGGGCTCACTGTTTTTACACCACCCTGTTTATCGGTTTCTTCGACGTTAAGGATAGTTTGTGAACTTTCAGATAGCTTATCATGAATATCATCTTGAGTGTTTTCTATTTTTTCCCTTTGACCTAACGTCATATCTTCAGTTTTCCTTTCATTGTCGTACGGAACAACAGTACCTCCTATCGATAAAAGAACATTTGCCATATCTTGATCATTGTTTGAAAATAAATCATTTTGACAATTCGATTCCTTTTTTGATTTTTTTTCATGTTTTTTTGAGGTACTATTTTTACGAGTTGAATGTTTAGAACTTTCTAATAATTTGTCTTTACTTTTAACAGCGTCGTCTTTATTTCCATTGTCTTTTCTACCACTTTTATGGTTACTGGAAGACGATTTGGACTTCTCAGACGTGGAACTTCTATTTTTATGCAAACTAGATTTTTGTTGTTTTGAAGAACCGCCAGCATTGCTCTCGTCGTCGCTACGATTATCATTAGTTGATTTGGGTTCTTTGCAAAGGCTAGACGATTTATCTTTCATATCTGAACGAGAATCTTTTCTATCTCTTTTTGGAGTTCGTTCTCGATCACTGTGATGTGATTTTTTGTCACTTCGATGCTTCCTATCCTTATCTCTCGACTCACTGCGGTGTTTACTGTGGCTACTAGATTTTTTATCTTTAGAGCTACTGCTCTTTTTTACATCACTCTTTTCTTGACCATTAGAACTACGATCTTTGGACTTGTCAGACTTATGATGGTGATTACTACTGGACTTTTCCTTGGACTGTTTGTCTGTTACTGAAGAATGATGTTTACTCTTTGAACTGTTATCGCTTATTTTGTGTTTTTCAACATCGTTAGTATTTTTATTGACATCAGTTACGTTATCATCATCATCATCATTCTTAGGGCTTATGCCATTTTTTTCTGATGGAATTGACTGTAATTTATCAATTGAAGATTTTTCAGAATTAATACCATTAGAGTTAGTTTCGAGATTGTTTTTGGTTGTACATTGCACAGGACTTCCGCCAATACTATTTAAATCTGACATTCCAGATATACTTTCATCGTTACTATTTTCATTGTCCATACCCGAAATTAAGGGTTCGAATTCGGGAGACGTTACTTCAGCATTATCGGTGTGATTACTTGGTGATTCTTGGTCTAAAACAAGTTATACAAAAAATTATTTAAAAAAAAAATAGATAAGACTATAATAATTAAGGTAACCTATAAATATAAACAAGACATATTATTTAAGTCAATTTAACAATTAAACCTATTTAATTTTTAAAAAATATATATCATTTCATGAAAACCTAACAGTATTATTAATATTCATTTTAACTTACTATCATCTGAGTTGGTAGAGTTTATACTAACTTTAGTCAAATTGTTCACATTGATGCAAGAAGCTTGCATACCTGTATAAAATAAAGTTTTAATAATTATGTATAAGCTTTGATAATCAAACCACTTTCATTTTAAATAGCCTTAACAAATATATAAAACATAATTTATTAAAATTAGTACACTTTTATAAATGCCAAATAAATATTTTATTGCTTTTAAATTTTAAATATTTTTAACATTCATATTGACAAACCATTTTGTTCAATTGTTTTCTCATTTTTGATTCCCAAATATTCATTGACGGCATTCTCTATTTTAGTTTCAAAAACATTTAGAGTTCTAGAAGCGAACACTTGAGTAAGTATTCTGTCTGCTCCATCTTCTATTTCACGAGATTCACGTCTAAAAAATTAGTTTATTTAATATCATAAATTAAGACTTTCGTAATAAAAATAATGAGGAATAAGGTATTATTTTGATTAAGTTATTGCCTTTTAAAAACAAATAAAGCTAAAGCTATAACTTTGACAGTTAGTTCAATACACAAAACTCTAAAACTTTTTGCTTTATTACATACCCATCAAACAAATGCTTTCGTAGTCGCTCTCGAATTGAATTTTTGTTTAATTCGGGTGTATAATTAATTTTACTAAGAAATTTGTTGATATTTGACTCGATTCGCTGTTTCCAGTTTTGAAAAGTCGGCTATACATTTAAAAAATAACATACATACATTATATAATCCAACAAAAATTAATAATATTTAATAAATAAAAACTAAATCAAACAAAAAAAGGGCCATTACTTTAAGGATACTCAAGTCATAATTCTTACGGGTTTTTTTTTTTTGTGAAATATGGTTTTTAATAACATACCTTTGCATCAATATTAGATACACAATCCCTGCGAAACTCATCAAACGTTCCATTTGCTTTGAGAGTTTCCAACAGTACAAACACAACTTCTTCGACGCTGTGCACATTATCATTTAGATGATCCATCGCGTAATATTTCTAGTTTAAAAAAATATGATTAAAAACACAGCTTACACAATAATAAAAAGTATAAAATTATTAATTAACACTTACTAATGTAGCAGGTTCGTAGTAGTAGTTTTGTGAGTAATGCACAAATTCGTTCAATACAATATCGTTCAATGGTAAAAAAAATAATAAAGTTTGTTAATATTTTGGACGAATATTAATATTAAAGTTCAAAATTTAATTTTTTTCTAAGTTATACATAGGTATATACGTCATATACCTACATATTTGTATTATATATAACATATAATACATATTATATACAAAAATTTACGTAAATGCTACTAGATACTACATAATTGGAAATCGCGATATAACATTCACAAGATAATAGTATTTAGTAATTACATCGTACGACAAATTAATGTAAATATTAAATAATTATATTATAGTGATTGCAGAATGCAGAGCAGTCAGCAGAGTATTTCAGTATTCAATTTTGGGATTAATTATTTGATAACACATTTTTTAGATATCAAAAACACAATGCATTTTTCATGGAATGCAAACACAACTGCATACAAATCGGACTCTCCGCTAACAGCTGCTACTATAGTTACTAGCTGACTGCTGATCATTATATTCATTTGTTATTTTCAATTTTGCAATTTGCATTAAAACATGGATTGTCTGAAAGCTTAGGCCGTAGTACCGGACCAAAATTCAAAACTAATAACGAAAAAAACTAATTACACAAAACAGCTTTTTTTTCCCCTTTTTTTTTATTTTTCAGTAGGTATCCGTATAAGTTGACTGGTTAAAAAATTTCACTAATCTGTGCGATGAAATAAAAAAAAAGTACACCGATTGTCGCATCTCCTTAAAACCGAGAACAACACTTATGCCACATTTTTTAAAGGCATGTTGAAAGAGTTCCAAATCTGTTCTTTGGGTATTCTTTAAATCGACCCAATTGTATGATCATTATCTATTATTATTATACAATAACTTTCTTTAACTTTTTCTCTAAAAATGTCGAATGTGTATTATGAAACTAAAACCTGATTAATAGAACCAAATTAAATTGCGATACGAAAAAATAAAGATATATTGATTCTTGTTCATACATACTACAGTTACATAACTATAGTTGTTGTTCAGCATATACATATTGTAATTATTAAACCGGGAGTTAAATTAAAATTTAATTCTACAACTTATTCTTATTTCCAAGTTGGAAAGCAATTAATAAACAGTTTGTTGTATTTCAAAAAAATAATTTAGTTTGGTCACTCATTGACAGTGTGGTCTAGACCTACTTGTAAGCTGTACCTTTGTTACAAATAACAATGTACTTATTAGTTGTTTATTGTACTTAAAGGTCAGTCAATTGATCACAACCTTCATAAGTTACATTGTATTTCGTAATATTTTAGAGGGTACCCTAATGGTCGTTCAGCGTTCTTACCAGTTGCCAGATTAACTAAACATTTATAAATTGAGCTTAGCCTATAATTTTAATATTGTTAACTATACTTAAACGTTAAGCCAAACTAGCGAGTCCGGTCATAAGTAATAGGTACTATATTATATAGGTAGTAATAATTTAATAAACATCATGATAAATTAAATTGAATGAATTTTAAAAACATAATTTATACTATTGGTAGTAATATCATTTTATACAAATTATTAAGTTGATCTATTGTCTACATTGATTAAATTTGTACATGCTCAATGGTTATTAAAAGTGCTCATCACTATGGGGACCTAATGACGTATGGAAATCTAGTTTGTAGGAGGATAAAATGCTGCTATTCTATTTTTTTATTATTTGTTGGTGATTGGGAGACTCGAGGCCAGCCACCTGTTAACCGTTAATGAGGTTATGTCCAATTTCCAAAGTCTTCGTAATTTCAGTTCACGTGTTAAGTGAAACAGTTGATTAAAGGAACGGTTTGTTTTATTTACCAAATTACCAGTTGAAATTCTACTGATTTTGAAAATATTGATCTGTCGCTTTATTTACTCTGGATGTTATAATAAACAATTTTAAAAATGGCCCTTAAACCTTGTTCGCTCGTTTTGGAAGATGGAACTGTGTTTTCTGGTTACAATTTCGGTTCTAGTACATTACCTGTCGACGGGGAAGTCGGTTAGTTAATATACAAATTATGATCATTAATTTTCTATTGTTTTATCTACTAACTGACTTTATTGGTCTTATGCAGTATTTCAAACCGGTATTGTGGGCTATCCTGAATCTCTAACAGATCCATCGTACTATAAGCAGTTACTGGTCTTGACATATCCGCTTATTGGCAATTATGGAGTTCCTGGCGACGAAAAAGATTCTTATGGAATCAAAAGGTGATTCTCAATAATAATACAACAGAATTTTGGAGTTTGTACTTGATGTAGTATTTTGTTCATACTACATTTATTCAGGATCATATTTAGGTTTACCAGAACTAGGGCCAAACATTTTGTTAGGCCTATAATTTGACCTAAAAGTTAATGTTCAGGCCTGAGCTCCCAAAAAACAGTCTTGTATTTTTTTTAACTACAGAGGAAATCACTAATTCCAAATGAGTCGCTGATGATTAATAATTTGTAACTGTTAATTTATAAAAAAAAAAACTTTTGAAACTTCGTCATGTTGTTGAATTCTTTCTATAGATGGTTTGAGTCACATCGTATATGGGTCTCGGCTTTAATTGTTGATGAAGTATGTGATCAACCGAGCCATTGGCGCAGTGAAAAGTTGCTGAATGAATGGCTTGCCGAAAGTGGAGTTCCAGGCATTTGCGGTGTAGACACACGTGCACTAACAAAACACATCCGAGAGAGAGGATCTCTACTGGCAAAAATTGTTTATGGTGTAGACAAAGACTTCACCAATGTAGTCAATCCGAACAAAATCAATTTAGTTAAAGATGTTTCAATATCTGTTAGTAAATATTACAAAAGCTAAAGTTTGTTAATACTATTATATTTTAAATATTAATATTCGTAAGAGCGAATTTAATTTTTTACTGCAATTGAATCAAATTTCACCTGTGTGCTTATCTTAATTGTTAATATTTTAGGCACCTAAAACACTTAACGAAACTGGATCGCCCAGGATTCGATTTGTCGATTGCGGTTCAAAATACAATCAGTTAAGATGTTTTCTAAAACGTGGTGCTCGGGTCGACATTGTGCCATGGGACCATCCGTTAAACGATGGTAACAATTATGATGGACTGTTCATAAGTAACGGCCCTGGAAATCCAGATATGGCCAACACGACAATTTTAAACCTGATTAAAGTATTAGAAAAGAAATCCGATATCAAACCTATATTTGGAATTTGTCTGGGACATCAACTCCTGTCTGTAGCTGCTGGATTTAAAACTTATAAAATGAAGTATGTTTGCATTTTTAAGAATATTTAGTTCGATGCAATATTTTAATTTTATTTATTTATTCGTACGGCTAGCGCCGGATGGTCATATTGATACACTAATATTTGTTTAATATAACAAAGACTCGTGTATGCAAGGAAGGCTGCGAGCAAGTTACCACCGTCTTCCTCCGTAAATGTTTTTATTACTTTGTCTTTTTAAAATTATTAGATTTGGAAATCGAGGTCAAAATCAACCTTGTGTATTGGGTGAAACCGGTAAATGTTACATGACTTCACAGAATCACGGCTATGCAGTAAAGCACGTCGAGTCTGAATGGGATGTGTTATTTACAAATGCTAACGATAAAACTAATGAAGGAGTCATCCATAAGAATTTACCATATTTCAGGTAATTAATAATTAGATTAATAAAAATAATGTGCTTATATTGCTGTATGTTAATATATATTATTATTTCTAAATGAATCGCAGTGTTCAATTCCATCCAGAAGCTTGTCCTGGCCCTGAAGATTTGGAATGTTTATTCGATGTCTTCCTGGAATCTGTCAAGAATAATATGGCAAAACGAGAATTTAAATTAATAGATCAAATCTATACTCATTTAAAACCCAAAATACCGAAATCTCGTGTAGACGTCCAAAAAGTGTTGATTTTAGGTTCCGGCGGATTATCGATTGGTCAGGCTGGTGAATTTGATTATTCTGGTTCTCAAGCAATAAAAGCGTTGCGTGAAGAGAACATCATTACCGTTCTAATCAATCCAAACATCGCAACAGTACAAACGTCATTGGGATTAGCAAACAAAGTGTACTTTTTGCCATTAGAACTTAATTTTGTTACTCAAGTAATTCAGTCCGAACGACCAGATGGTATATTGTTGACTTTCGGTGGTCAGACAGCTTTGAATTGTGGAATCGAGTTAAAAAAGTCTGGCATACTGGAACAATACAATGTTAAAGTATTGGGAACTCCAATTGAAACTATAATAGCAACAGAAGATCGAAAAGAATTTTCTGATAGGGTTGTTGAAATCGGTGAACGAGTCGCTCCGAGTGCTGTTGTTACGACTTTTGACGAAGTATAATAAAGTTTATATTAAAGTAAAGGTGAATCGATTCAATAAAGTTTTTAAATTTGTTTTTAGACCATGGAAGCTGTTAAACAATTAGGTTACCCGCTTCTAGCGCGAAGCGCTTTTAGCTTGGGCGGCTTAGGTTCTGGTTTTGCAAATAATGAATCAGAATTACGCGTGTTAGCCAAACAATGTTTTACTCATAGCAGTCAAATGATTTTAGATAAGTCGTTGAAAGGCTGGAAAGAAGTCGAGTATGAAGTTGTGCGCGATGCATATGACAACTGCATTACAGTAAGGTTTTACTTCAATAAGTTCATTCAGTGTGTGAGTTACATAAATTATACAAGTTTGCTTTACTTAGGTTTGTAACATGGAAAATGTAGATCCATTAGGTATACACACAGGCGAATCGATTGTCGTTGCTCCTAGTCAGACGCTTTCCAATGCTGAGTATAATAAACTGAGAACAACGGCAATTAAAGTCGTTCGTCACTTGGGCGTCATCGGGGAATGTAATATTCAGTATGCCCTCAGCACCATATCTGATGAGTTTTACATAATTGAAGTAATTTTATTTATTTGTTATTATAATTATAAAATTTACACTTAATATGTTTTTTTAATGTTAGGTTAATGCTCGATTATCCCGGAGTTCAGCTTTAGCGAGTAAAGCGACTGGATATCCTTTGGCTTATGTAGCAGCCAAACTGTCATTAGGCATAGCGTTACCCGATATTGTTAACTCTGTGACATCGTCTACTACGGCATGTTTCGAACCTAGTTTAGATTATTGTGTAGTCAAAATGCCTCGTTGGGACCTCAGTAAATTCATACGTGCTACTACAAAAGTAAATTATTGGCTATATTCTATTAGAGTACATGCCAATTAAGATAATTTAAAAATGTCTAACTTGCATTTTGTTTGTATATTTTATCAGATTGGCAGTTCGATGAAGAGTGTAGGCGAAGTTATGTCTGTAGGTCGTAATTTTGAAGAAGCATTTCAAAAAGCTTTTAGAATGGTCGATGAAAATTTTGTCGGATTCGACCCCTACTTAAAGTCTATAAACGACGACGAATTAGAACAGCCAACGGATAAGAGAATATTTGTTTTAGCTGCTGCTTTAAAAAATGGATATTCTATAGATAAACTATATGAATTAACCAAAATTGATCGTTGGTTTTTATATAAGATGCAAAACATTATAAAACATCAGACATTATTGGAATCGTATAATTATCCAAATTTGCCATTCGACCAATTACTAAAAGCAAAGCGTTTAGGATTTTCTGACAAACAAATTGCGTCTTGCGTTCAAAGTACTGAGTTAGTAATTCGAAAACGTCGAGAAGAACAAGGAATCACTCCATTTGTAAAACAAATTGATACAGTTTCTGCCGAATATCCAGCGGAAACTAATTATCTTTATTTAACTTACAACGCAATTAGCAATGACTTAGAATTTCCTACTAACTTAATTATGGTCATTGGTAATATAGATTTTTCTTCCGTTTTTATTTGTTATATTATAATGATTTGTATTTTGTTTAGGATCGGGTGTATACCGTATTGGAAGCTCTGTTGAATTTGATTGGTGTGCCGTTGGCTGTCTTCGTGAATTGAGGAAATTGAATAAAAAAACTATTATGGTCAATTGTAATCCAGAAACTGTCAGTACAGATTATGACATGTGTGACCGATTGTATTTTGAGGAAATTTCGTTTGAAGTAAAATTCAAATTCTAATTGTTCAATCAAAATGCTTATCAGTTCTTTCTAGGTGGTAATGGATATTTACAATTTGGAAAATCCTGAAGGTGTTATTTTGTGTATGGGCGGACAACTGCCAAACAATATAGCCATGGATTTGCACAGACAGAACGCTCGTATTCTGGGAACATCTCCAGAAAATGTAGATGGCGCAGAAAATCGTTTCAAATTCTCGAGAATGTTGGACAGAATTAAAATATTGCAACCGAGGTATATTGTCGCAATGTTATAACATGAAATTATGCATGCAATATATTATTTTTATCTTTAGATGGAAAGAACTTACTGATCTCAAGTGTGCTATAGAATTTTGCCGAGAAGTCGGATACCCTTGTCTGGTCAGACCGTCTTATGTTTTGAGTGGAGCCGCAATGAACGTAGCACATAATGACGGCGATTTAGAAGCATATTTGAAATCCGCTAGTGAAGTTTCAAGAGAACATCCCGTGGTTATTTCAAAATTCCTTGAAGACGCCAAAGAAATAGACGTGGACGCCGTAGCTAAAGACGGACAAATACTCTGTATGGCTGTCAGTGAACATGTTGAAAATGCCGGAGTACATTCGGGAGACGCCACTCTTGTGACACCGCCGCAAGATATTAACGATGAAACGTTGGAGAAAATAAAATGTATTTGTCGAGATATTGCTTCATCGTTGAACGTAAATGGACCATTGAACATGCAGCTTATTGCCAAAAATAACGAATTGAAAGTAATAGAATGTAACGTACGAGTGTCCCGATCTTTTCCATTTGTCTCGAAAACTTTAGGCCATGATTTTGTCGCGATGGCTACTCAAGTGATCATAGGAGAAGAAGTAGAACCGGTCGACGTATTGTCCGGCATCGATAGAAGAGTTGGTGTTAAAGTGCCTGTGTTTTCATTTTCTCGTATTGCCGGAGCTGATGTTATGTTGGGCGTAGAAATGGCCTCGACTGGTGAAGTGGCATGTTTTGGCGAGAATCGTTATGAAGCATACTTGAAAGCAATGATAAGCTCTGGCATGCAATTGCCACAACCAGGGGCCAAAATTTTTCTGTCTATCGGAAAGATTAAGCACAAAGAAGAATTGCTCAACAGCGTAAAAGCACTACAAGCAATGGGCTACAAACTGTACGGGAGCAGCGGAACGGCCGATTACTACAACTACAATACTAAAGAAATTTCCGTAATATAACTACAACATGGTTAGGTAATGCAATATTATATTGTGTACTTAAAATGTCGTTTTCAGGTAACTCCGTGCGACTGGAGATTTGACAATATTGGCGTCAACACGACACGTGGTGATCTACTTAGTTTGGCCGAGTATATAAGTAACAAAAATTTTGATTTTGTCATTAACGCTCCGATGATGGTGAGCGGAGCGAACAGAGTAGCTTCGTTTTTAACGCCTGGTTATCGTATGCGAAGAATGGCAATTGAACATTCCATTCCATTGGTGACTGACGTCAAATGCGCCAAACTCCTTATAGAAGTAAGTTTTTGATGACAAGTAATAAATTATAAATTTATATTAACCCTAAAACACTAACCATTCATCGACGCTACAAACGCTGATCATTTATACTGACTGTTTTTAGAATGGTTAGCAATAAAAGGATAAAAATAAAATATGTAAAATAAATTGTTTTTTTTTTTCTTAGGCAATGGTCGGAATAGGTTGCAACCCGTCGTTAAAAACCCATATAGATTGTATTTCGTCTCAGAGATTGTTGAAGTTACCCGGTTTAATCGACATGCATGTGCACGCACGTGAGCCTGGAGCAAACCATAAGGAAGATTTTGCGTCTTGTACGGCTGCGGCGCTAGCCGGTGGTATTACGTTAATTGCAGCCATGCCCAACACTAACCCTTCTATAATTGATCAAAAATCCTACGAGTTGGCAAAAAAAGTATAATGAAGATTTTTTTTTTTTTTAATTACCTATCAAATTTTCATCATTGTCATTTTTATTTTTTAGTGTGCTAAAGCTGGCGCTAGGTGTGATTATGTTCTGTACGCGGGAGCATCCAATACAAATAGTTTCGAAATCGCACAAAATGCCAATCAATTTGCGGGACTCAAGATGTACCTCAATGAAACATTTAGCACGTTGCGCCTGCAAAATGTGTCTTCGTGGGTGTCGGTGAGCATACAAATGTCACTTAATACTGAAGTAGAGCTCTGTTGGCAAAAAATAAACCAAAACTAAAATACCTAGTGGATGCCCAGCAAATCTTGGTATTCACCCCCCAAATATTGCTTATACGCATACCCATAAAAGCATAACTAGTTTTTTTTTGGGGGGGGGAGGGGGTAATTTCCAACTCTGTCCAAAAGATTGAATTCAATAAAATTAATAAAAAAAACTTTTATTAGCATTTTGAAAGTTGGCCAAAACACATGCCATTGGTTGTGCACGCCGAAGATCAGACTTGTGCCGCCATTCTTATGTTGGCTTCGTTGTATAATCGCTCAGTTCATGTATGCCACGTAGCACGCAAATCAGAAATACTTCTCATTAAAGCGGCCAAAGAAAAAGTAAACACATCTTATACGCTTTTAGAACATTACGATTTCGATATTGATTTCTGTCGTTTTTTTAGGGCATAATGGTGACGTGCGAAGTAGCTCCTCATCATTTGTTTTTATGCGACGAAGATATTGTTTCGTTAGGTCCTAATAAATCTCAAGTCAGACCAATAATTTGTACCAAAGAGGATCAGCAAGCTCTTTGGGATAATTTAGCATACATCGATTGTATTGCCACAGACCATGGTATGGTTGTACTAATTTAGCGTATGTTGAAATATTTAAACAATTTTATTTTTTAGCACCACACACTTTAGAAGAGAAATTAAGCGACAAAGCACCACCCGGTTTCCCAGGTCTCGAGACTGTAGTGCCTCTGTTATTGAATGCAGTTAAAGAAGGGCGCTTGACCATTGAAGTAAGTATTTAATCTGAAGTACATCAAAAAGGTTTACTTAATGCATAATCACGATATATTCATTAATAAAAATTAATAGAAATATGTCATAAATGCAAAAAACTTATGTATAAAATTTTAGCAAATGTATAAATAATATTTATAATTTATGAAGAATGAACAAGAAAATGACCTCGATATTAATTTATAAATATTAAATTTTAAAAATTAGGACATTGTGGAAAAAATGTACACTAATCCCATGAAAATTCTTGGTTTAACGCCTCAACCAGACACTTACATTGAAGTGGATATGGACACCGAATGGACCATTCCGTCTTCGACGGCTTATTCAAAAGCCAAATGGACTCCTTTTGCCGGATTTCGTGTTTGCGGTTCAATACATAGAGTTGTTTTACGCGGACAAGTAGTATGCATCGAAGGCAAAGTATTAGCTGAACAAGGTTTTGGTTGTGATCTACGGGACCCGACCTTATCTCGAAAAGTCCTCACAGACGCCGGCTCACAAGTGAACATAAATATGAAAACTCCAATGCCTATAAAGAACACTGACGTGCACGGTATGAAAAATTATTTATGATAAAAAAACCAATTGTAGTGTTTTTATTATTTTTCTATTTTTTTTAGCTTTGTTTAACAACGTTTTGTCTGAAATCAGAGAAAAAGTAGTACAAGAAATTGAAAGTGTAACTGGCGTTAAGTCGGACATCATAAGACAGCGCAATTTATCGGGCAGCGAGTCCAAGGATATGAGTTTGTTAACTATAAACACAGCCGGGTTGAACAAACGGTCAAAAGAGACTACAAATGATGTAGGGCTCAACTTGCTGACGCCTATACCTACACACGGATTAGCTCACAATCACATTTTGTCTGTCGACATGTTCTCCAAAGATCACTTGAACGAAATATTTAATTTGGCACAGACATTGAGAGTTTACGTCATTAAGGGACGATCTCTTGACAATATACTCAAAGTAAAAATTAAATTACTGTTATATGTATTAGCACATTTTTTTAAAATTCATGTTCATAAATTCTAGGGTAAAGTCATGGCTTTGATATTCTACGAAGTGAGTACGAGGACCAGTTGTAGTTTTTCAGTGGCCATGCAAAGACTGGGTGGCCGAGTTGTACACGTCGACGAAACTAGTAGTTCTGTGAAGAAAGGAGAAACGCTGGAAGGTTAGGATAAAAAAACCTGATGTCAAACGGCTAATGTTGTTTTTATTGATATAGTATAATATGTTTTAGATACCGTGGAAGTCATGAGCGGTTATGTAGATGTAGTTGTCATGCGTCACCCTCAGCCTGGCGCAGTTAGAGTAAGTATTTCAGAATGTATAGTCAAAAACAATTGGGAAATTATCATTGTAACAAATTTAGAATGCAGCTCGACATTGCCGCAAGCCCATGATCAATGCTGGAGACGGAACCGGAGAACACCCGACTCAAGCTCTTTTGGATATATTCACAATAAGAGAAGAAATCGGTACTGTTAACGGCCTTACCATCACATTAGTCGGTGATCTGAAAAACGGTCGAACTGTGCATTCGCTTGCGAGGTAAAACCTTTACTTTTACAACATACGAACAAGCTTTCTGGCCTCGGATTTAACATAAGCTTTGATGTATAATTTATAGATTATTAACACTGTACAAAGTGAATCTTCGCTATGTCAGTCCCACCAACTTGAGTATGCCGACATCAGTACGTCAGTTTGTCGCGTCTCGTGGCATTCCTCAAGAATCTTTCTCGTCCCTAGAAGCGGCGCTACCCGAGACAGATGTGTTGTACATGACGCGTATTCAACGTGAACGGTTCCCAGACGAGAATACCTACCAACAAGCGTGCGGCCGTTTCGTCGTCACACCGGAAATTATGATCAAGGCTAAACGTAAGATGATCGTCATGCACCCGTTGCCCAGAGTGTTTGAAATCAGCCCGGAATTCGATTCTGATCCCAGAGCAGCATACTTCCGACAAGCCGAGTATGGAATGTACGTGAGGATGGCTCTTATAGCGATGATACTCGGCAAATGTTAAGTTATCATACTCTGATAAATCGATCAAATTTGTGATAAAATTTATTTTGAAAAACAAGTACCTTTTTAGTTAACTATTATATTATGGTTCATTTTATATTATGATATAATTTATATCTTTTTTTTTTTCATTTTTTTAGTTGACTATTTTAAAACAAATTTATTTGACACATATTTATAGTTGAATTAAGTACCATTCGAAAACATTCGTGTATTCATATCTCTTTATATGTTGTAACCATTACATCTTATTAAAATATATAATCATTTTTTAAATAATATAGTTATTTATATTTTTTACAAATTTTATGTATATGATATATCCTTTTGTACTGTTTGTTGCCACCGAGGAGTATTGATAATTTTATAACGAATAATAATCGTCGACTAATACAATAATATTGACTCAATTGACGGTACCCACTTGATGTAAAACTGTTTTCAACTTTACACTGTGGAAATCACAGCCCTTTTCGCCATTTAACTAATATAAAAAGCAACAAAAACAATTTGTTTGGGTTTTCTCCAATTTATTCTAACCGAGACAAAACAATATAATAATCATATTTTTTTTTTATACATAACAAAAAAAAAAAATCAACAAATAATACAACGGCTAAACAACTAACTAAAAGATTTGCTTTCATTTTCAGCATTTAAAAACATTAAAATAATTATTTTATTTACATGAAAATTCAACAATAAAGTTTATTTTTTTCTATTTCTAACAGTACCTAAAATATGCGACAATCAACAACACAATATATAATTATAATTATTATCATATTATTAAGACTTTGCACATTAAAACTATCCTACTTGAAACAGCATGCGTCGCCCCATATAGCAGCTCTCACATTAAGCACAATTCCCCCGGGCAACTGCCAGTTGTCGCTCTACTGTGACGGTATATAAAGCTTAACGTATTATCGAAGTTAGTATTAGCAAATTTCAAATACGATTTATTTAGAAATAATAATAATAAAAATACATTTTTATTTTAATAATCAACACAGGAGCAGATGAGCGAATGAGCAAAAAATCGTCTCGGGTTAGCTACGATGTGAGGTACCCGATTGTGAATCGTAAACAAAGATGGATGGTTTCTAGAATAAATTAAATTTCAAAAATAACAATATTATCGTTGTACATTTGAACACATTTGAATTGGCCTTTGGAGACCGCCGATTTATTATTATTATTATTTTTTTTTTACAAGCACAAAACCATCCGTACACCGTCTACGTCACACAATATAAACTAATAGCGATTTGAAAATAAACTTCTTGTACTTCGTCTATTATTATTATTTTTTTTTTTTTATAGATTATACTAAATCAACAAACAGTCTAATAAACGTTACAAATAATTTTAAGGTTTCGTTTTTATAATTTAATTTTTTTTTTTTTTTTTTGTTTTGTTGCACGTCTCTTCCGGTATCGCCTTTCGAACGCATTAAATATAATATGAATACACCTTCAATACAATAATATTTGGCTCTATTCCAACAAAACAATCGATTTTTCGTCCGGGTCGCTTCACCATTTCTGTTCCACGGTGGTGGAAACTAGAAAAACAAACACCAGGTATAGGTTTACAATTACAGTGTAAGGTATAATAATATATAACAAGTACAAACAAAAACAATAGTTTTTTTTTTTTTGTTTTACCTTTGAGTGGAGTAGAAAATATAAAGGCAAAAATATTGAATTAGGTGCGCCTTAATGTTAATCGGTTAGGCAATCGCTTAAACTATGCCTTTACTCGGCAACAGCAGTTTGTTATTCGGCCGTATTTATGTATTTACTTTGTGTTATAAACTAATGCTCTTGGAACGGATTTAAAGTATATTAGGTGATTTTATTTTTATAGAATAAACGATTATTTTCATTTTTATATTAAAAAAAAAATTAATTTTATCAACAAAATTGAAAATTCTCATCTGTACGGCACAGTTCATTCAAATTCCATTATTTTCAAAAAATCTATAAAAACGTTTTCTATCTGAATTTATTGGTAATGCATACTTTTACTCTAGTAGTCAAAAAAACTAATAAACTATAGTTTACTAATAAAGAACCCCTATGCCTGAACTAATGTAACACATACCGGGTTAGATTATTAATATGCTTTGAGTATTGCCTATACTAAACCCCTTAGTAAATAATGTGCTGTTCCGGTTATCCAAATATTTTTCCTCTCGTTTCTATTTCTAGAACTCGTTTTGAAACCTGATTAGTTAATGGAAACGTTCATATAACAATATATTCTAATGAACTTTTTTAATCGAGAATGATGTCTAGTGTTTACCAGACATTTGGATCGGATGATGATGAACATTATTGAAGGGATAACATTAATCTTGCGAGTTATTAGCGTTTAAAAACTGTATACAGAGTTGGATATTATTCGAATAATTTTTAATCTAAATTAAGTGATAAATAGAAAATTATCTTTTATTTAAATAATCATTTGCCAATTTATTTGATATTCATTTAAAAATTATCGGTTGAACACGATTTACTGTCAGCGACTAATTGATTTAATTCGTTATCTTTTATATAATAGTTTTAAATTGTTTGAACGATTTAATTTACTTATCTGTACATAGATAATATTAATAAATAAACATAAAAATTACTATTTAAGATAAGAAAAATATTTGATATTTAAGATAGGCAATTGTTCAATTAAATGACAAAAATAATTAATTTTTTATTTATATTATGTACGAAATAATTATTTAATTAAATTTTAAATTGTCAACGTTAACAATATGTTAATTATAAATAAATATGTGCCTATAAAATCATCATTTGTCTGAGTATCGGTACGAACAAAGCTGTTATTTGACAAATAAATACAAATGTTAAGTCATTATTCCCATTTTTTTTTAAATCATTTTTCCTGCATTATTTAACTACAAGAACTTAAAAATTATCAGTGAAATTATATTTATTAAAAAATAACAGTTTCAAAGAAGCACGTTCATAGAAACAAATTATTTTTTATGATTTTGACATTATAGAAATATTATCTATCTTTTTGTTGCCCGTAAACCACAGTCTCTCATTTTTCTCATCAGAACAATTTTTGTTTAGCATAATTAAACGTTACTAAATAAAAAACATATTGGAAATAAAGTCGGCGATTTTTTAAGTTTTTATTATTTCATCATCATGCAAACCATTGCCGTTTAGTATTATTCTCATTTGTGAATTAAATATAACATAATATTACTATTATATTCTATTGGTTAGTGGTGTAACCTACAACAATGGATACCTAATTTTTTTTCAACAGAGCTGATAGTTTTGACGAGAACGAACAATAGTAAACGATTGACGCGCGTTGAGCTTTGCTAATGAGAACTATAGTTAAAACACAATGAAGGGAATTTATAGCCACGCTAAGTCGGTCCTTGACCCAAAATTACTATTCAAACCAATAATTTTGTACGTCAGCAACTCGCTGCCAAAAAAAAAAATTATTTATGAAAGAAAAATATATTACACAACATTTTCTTCATATTTTATTTGTCAACATTTCAAGCACAGTACACTACCTACACTGATATTTTTTTTATCCCAGAGACAATATTTTATTTGTAGGTATATATATAAAAAATATTTTATCTGGCATAAAAAATAATATTTAAATGTATACAATTTATTTTAATATTATACGTTAGATTGCAATATTTATATTGTATAGGTATTAATATAAGTAAACAGCAGTTACGTACCTTCGACGATCGCCAAATTGCCGGCACTCGTGGATCCAAAGTTTGTGTTATGCAGATTAGTAAAAAAAAATGTATTAAAAAAATTGAAACAGGTACTACTACGAGTTCAACAGCAGTTGTTAGAAAAATACATTTTTGTTTTTAATAGCTTAAAAAAAAACCCCCAATTGATTAACACAAATTGGTTGGTGTTGAGCGTCCCAAAATATTGTGTTTTGTTTTTAATTTTTGCTCGGTTTGACAGTTTGAAATTTATATGTGACTTTGAAGTTGGATAAAAGGTTAAGCGAACAACATAATTGTATACAACGCTAATACAATAATAACAGTTATGTATTAATCAAGTTAATATTCATACATTAACAACCCTGTAGGCACTTCTGGGTGCTATTTTTTTAGGCGGTATCCAAAATTGGGTACCTTTTCTTAAACTATAATAATTATAAATTACTTACAAGTATTATCTATGACAAAAGAAGAACAGTTAAATAAATATAAGTACAAAACAGCATCACAATATTAAGTATTCTAGCTAAATACGCAAACTAATTTCCTACCACGATAAACGGTCAATTAAATGAATTACCGCTATACTTATTTGATTTATTTTTTAATTAGATTCGTGGAAGGGTTTTAAACTAAAATTATATTTTTAATTACCTAAATGTTAGAGGCCGAATACAATTTTAAAGCTACCGCTTGTCGACCAAGTTTCACAATGAAAATATTACGTCTACAATAATTAAAAGTATATAAATAAATAATTCACTAGAAATTTAACATTAAAATAAAATTCACCTTTACAATACCATAAAATGAACTCGGCAGGCATTTTAAAGTAATTGAAAAATAACATAAAATAATAATGCAAATTAAAAAATAAAAATGTATATCAATAGAGTTAAGCGCATTTAAAACGTATGGTCGAAAATGCAATGGGAATTGCAATTAAATGGGATATTGCACATGCACTTTTAACGACAATGAAACTGAGCGTGTCAGCATATTAATCCGCGTGGGGTTTACACGTTAAGTTTGGTAAACCATTGTCCCGTTCTACTTTTTGACCATCGATATCGTAATAACGGATTATGCTTGATTGCTGGGTACCTATAAGTTGTATATAGAAATTTTTTTTTTTTTTAAATAACAAAAAATCGTGTACATCCCAAAAACTCGTGATGATTACCCGCACATATTAAGCAAGTTTATTTTTAAGCGATACGCGATTATACGTCGTTTTTATGTGTCCGTTCCGTAATCTTTTCGACCAAGGTAAACTCTAACACGCCCACTAGCAAAACCTAATCGAGAGTTTTCCGTAAAAGCTCACTGCTAACACAAAGCGACTTTGTTAAATTGTTTTTGTTTAAAACTAAAAAACAGCTCAAATAATACCATTAAATCACACAATAAAACATAATACAAAGAAAAATAATAATAATAAGCTCAAATTAGCAGATGAACGATCATTGTGTTTTGTTCTTCAGCGATTAATCGCTTTTAAGTTTGAATTAAAAACATTTTTTTATTTTAATGTTACTTTTTAATACTTAAAAACATACAAATATATTTACACAATGTTTCACTAACTAGTCGAATAATAAAATTTCAATAATAATAATAATAATAATCTTTATAATTTACACAAAAAGATTTAAGTACAGAATAGATAGTCAACGTGAGTAAATTTAAAAATTACTTATATTTTAAGAAACTTTTTTTTAATTTACGTGGTAAGAAAGAGGATGCAAAAAATATCATTGTTTAGTGGACATTTGTTACAACATTACGTGACATTCCATAATATTACGACCTTCCAAAAAATTCACTACTTTGACAATTATTCTGTACATGCTGGTAAAGTGCAAAGTGTTTTAAAATCCAACAAAATTTGTAAAAAAAAAAAAAAAAGTATTAATATCATTAATAAATAAGTTAAATTATTATTTAAGAATATATTTTCACATGCGTATTGAACGATAATAGTATGGTGATATTTTTTAATTTTATTTTTGAGTTAAATATGTTGGCTTTTTTTAACTTGTTTGAGTTAAAATTAAATTTTGATGACAAATTATATTACAAAATATTGAAAATGCTCTAAAATTTACCTTTCAAAAGAACAATGGATATTTTTAGAAATTTAGTCTGAAACTCCTAATTTTAATGTGTACTCTGAAAATATTTTTAATATTCAATAATAAAACCAAAATTTTAGTTTTCTTAATTTACATAAAGATCAAAATATATGTATATTTATTATATATAAATTAATAAAATATTATAATTAAATATAATTATTATTGTAAAATGATAAATCGTACATAAAAAGGATAAATTTATCGCACTATTAAGATGTGTAGATATATAGATTATGTTAAGAAAAAATAATATTTATAAATAATTTATGTTAAAACATTTGACTAATTTTGGATTTTCAAAGATTATATTACAGAAGTGTTTACTACAGTACGTCAGATGGACACTTTAAAAAATATTATAACTGCCTTTGTTAAACTAACTCGATTAAAAATTAAAATATAAAAATATTAACCTCAAAACACTTTTAACAATACTTCGGAAATATCGTTAAAATATTATCATTGGTTTGATCGTAACGCTTAATTTTTTTTTTTAATACGTTCGAAGCATTTAACTTTATTAATTCTCACACACCAGATGTTAAAAAAAAAAAAAAAAAACAATACAATACAATAAATCAGAACAATATCCGATTGGCAGTGAAAAAAATCACAGACGTATATGGGATTCGTCTGTCTAAAGAACAACATACCTTACCATATGTATAAAAAAAAAAATCACAGGACCGAGGCACGCAACGAACGTATTACAATTATAACTAATTATCCTTACCCCACAATAAATGCAGACCATCATAATATAAATAAAGAGAAAAAAACAAACAAACAAACATATTCAAGTTTTCTTTTGCTCATTTGAAGCTTGAAACAAAAGTTAGACGCCTATTGCACAGCAAATTTTTTTTTTTAAATAACTAAAGGAATGTTAAGGAAAAAACTTTATAATTTATATATTTTTTATCAAAAAGGTGTGTTAGTAATTTTTTTCAGTCTTGTTTTCATGTCATAGTACGAAAAAGCAAAAAAAAAAAAAAAATGTATAATAAAATTGTTTAATTGCAGAGAATTTTGTTTTGTACATGTTTCAGAATGTTTTTTTTCTCAAATATAATTTTTTGGGAAAGAAGCAAAAAGGACGGTGGCCAACTTGTGTCCTTTACAAGGGTCCGTAAATGATGACGGCGAAAAACACGGACCACATGAGCACGATACCCCACACCGATGTGATAACGCTCTTACCGTCAGTGAACCGACGAGCAATAAATTTCAGAGTTTCGTCCAATAGCACAACGGGTATTGAGAACTTCATTACTGTGATCCATTCGTCCACTGTTAGTGGCGTCACTTGGAACACGGTCTATATTTTTAAAAATTAAGGTAAGTTGTAAAAACACAATGTTAACATTTAGGTAAACTAAATACGTACCGATAAAATTTCCACATGGAGAATAACAAAATGAAGTGTGAACGACAACACCATGGAGCCAATAAGCCATAAGTTACACCACGGTGGCATACTTATTAACGATTGATTTTCTGATAAACTAAACATAAAAAATTGAAACATTTAGTAAAATATGACACATTTTTTTAAAATTTTTATTTCAAATGAAGTTGTTCATACCTGTTCATAGCGTTTAACATTTCAATTGTGACTAATACAGAGAGAGCCATAGTCATTGGGTGAGGATCGTGGAACACTGCACAGTTTAATCCTCTAAAATCATTTCCACCAGTCAAACAAGCCAAGTGATGTGTCTAATAAAAAAATAAAATAAATAAATAATTATATAACTTGAAAGTATTTTTTATTTATTTGGTCATAATAAAATATTTTACCAGTTGATAGTATGAAATTTGAGGTCCGTCTTCACAGAACATGAACCACCAAGCCGCAGCACCAACTGTAGCGGCACCAACATAGAAACCGATGGCCATGTACCGGAAGAACAACCAGCCAGAGATCAGACCTTCATTGCTTTTACGTGGGGGCTAAAGAATATTAGAATTAAATAGAATGCAAAAAATAAATTTAATTCAATTAAATAACATGAATACGCTTACTTTGCTCATGATATCGAGATCGGGAGGATTGAAACCAAGTGCAGTGGCTGGTAAACCGTCTGTGACCAAATTGACCCATAAAAGTTGCACAGGAATCAAAGCTTCGGGCAGACCGAGAGCAGCGGTCAAGAAAATACTGACAACTTCACCGATGTTCGATGAAATCAAGTACCTAATGAATTGTTTCATGTTATTATAGATGGCTCGGCCTTCTTCAACAGCAGCCACAATCGAAGAGAAATTATCATCGGCCAAGACCATTTCAGAAGCAGATTTGGCCACAGCCGTTCCCGAGCCCATAGCAATACCGATTTCGGCTTTCTTTAATGCAGGTGCATCATTCACACCATCACCAGTCTAAAAAAACAAACATTGTACACAATCAGATAAATTGTTTTTAAAATAAATAATAAAAATTAAATATTATAATACACTCACCATAGCAGAGATTTCATTCATACTTTGAAGGTATTCAATAATTTTCGATTTATGGGCGGGTTCCACTCGAGAAAATAGACGGGCCTTGGCGACAGCTTGTTTTTGTTCAGATAGAGAAAGATCGTCAAATTCTCTGCCGGAAAATGATTTGCCGGTCGTATCTTCTTCCTCAGTAAACACACCAATTCTGCGGCAAATAGCTTCAGCGGTAGACTACAAAAACATTGAAATAATATTGAAAAACCGAAATATACACTAAAATATGTAATATTTAGTATAATACAAGATGTTATAGTTTAATTACCTTGTTATCTCCTGTGATGACAATAACCCTGATACCGGCAGCTCTGCACCTTTGAATCGAATCGAAAACTTCTTTTCGGGGAGGATCCAACATACCGACTACACCAACAAATGTCAAATTAACTTCATAAGTGTAAAATTTGCTCGATTCGTTTAGATCCATTTGTTCCGGCCTTATGGGTGCATCAGCTGTGGCAAGGGCTAAACAACGTAGTGTATCACGTCCTGTACCATATTTACGAGTCAGCTCCAATATGCGGTTTTTCAGTGCAGACGTCAACGGAACCTTAAATCATCATGTATAATTTACAGTCATATTTTAACAACAAAAGTAATGGTCATAAACACATACTTTTTGTGCGCCAACTCTGACGTGAGAACATCTGTCCAATACTCCTTCCGGTGCGCCTTTCACAAATAATTTAGGACCGTTTCCTAATTTGGTAGCCTTAATGGGTGTACAATAAGAAGACATCGATTTTCTGTCTCTCGAGAATTCCAAAGTAAATTCTTTTTTCCATTTGCTTTCAATGTCTTGTCTTACAACAATAGCAGTTGTTCTGCGATCAAGTCCAGATTTAGATACGTTGTTAGGGTTCATTTTTTCTGCCAACACAATTAGAGCGGTTTCAGTGGCTTCACCAACCTAAAAAAAATGTTATTGGTCACATTTAAATACAATATACTTAATTAAAACATTAACTTTAATGTTGATAGTTTACCTTTTCAAAAGCTTGTTTAAACTCGTTAAAATCAATAGCCGAGTCGTTACACATCACACAAATCGTTCCCAATTCATTTAAAGTTTCATAATCGGAAGTTTTGACTTTTTGACCGTTTAGGAATACTTCACCGATCGGTTCATAAGTTGATCCAGTAATTTCGAATTCCGTAAACGAACTGTCATTTCCATCGACGCTATCAAAAATAAACATCCTACGCGAAATCATAATCTTTAGTTTATATTCCATAAAAAAATAAAAAAGAATTATGCAAATAACAAAGTAAATAATTTGCACCCTACCTGCTAACAGACATCTGGTTGGTGGTGAGAGTACCAGTTTTGTCTGAACATATCACAGAGGTACAGCCGAGAGTTTCGACTGAAGGTAGCGACCTGACTATAGCGTTCTTTTTAGCCATACGGCGAGTTCCCAGAGCCAGACAAGTGGTAATGACTGCTGGTAAGCCCTCCGGAATAGCGGCCACAGCCAAGGCTACAGCAATTTTGAAATAATAAATAGCACCTTTCAACCAGGAGCCGCCGTGAGCAGGATCGTTGAAATGACCTATAAAAAAAAAAATACAGTAAATATATTAAGTAATATGTTTTTTAATTATAACATATGAATAGTACGCTACGTACCAATATTGATAGCCCAAACAGCGACGCAGATGACCGAAATAACTTTACTGAGTTGTTCACCAAATTCATCCAATTTCTGTTGAAGAGGAGTTTTGATCTCTTCAGTTTCGCTCATTTCCGTGCGAATCTTACCAATGGCAGTGTTTAAGCCTGTGCCCATAACGATACCCCTAGCTTTACCGGCGGCAACATTTGTTCCACTGAATAGAATATTCTTTTTATCCTAAAACAGATAAGGAGAATGTGTTTATTTTCGAATGAACAAATAAGTGAAATAAAGATACTAACTTGGTTCACAGCCCTTGGATCTGGAATGGCGTCCGTGTGCTTGATTACGGAAATCGATTCGCCGGTCAATATAGATTGATCAATTCTCAGAGTAGTTGAATATATTTTAAGCAATCTAATATCTGCAGGAATTTTGTCACCAACTGATACTTCCACAATGTCACCAGGCACAATTTCTTTCGCTCTGATTTTTTGTATACCAGATTTGTCACCTCTGACAACTTTTCCCATTTCTGGTTCATATTCTTTTAGCGCCTCTATGGCAGACTCAGCGTTCCGTTCCTACAACACAAAAACAAATATTCTGTTATGAAACTGTGAACAAATTACTACTATTTTATAACAATCTAAACAAAAATACAATTAAAGTTTAAGAAAATTACTACATTATCTGATTTGGGAAAAACTGCAGCAAACCCGAGGATTTAAATTATTGAAAAAAAATAAATTATCAAACAAATTTGTATTTGAAAAAAAATTTCCCAGGTTTGGACTGTAGTAACTGTCAGTGATCCTTTTTTTTAAAAAACATTTTAAGTGTAAGCAATTTTTTTATGTTTTAATGTTAGCCTTTTTTCCTTTACCACCCTTTTGAAATTCAAAAGGTAAAAATATTTTCTCATAAGAAAAAAATTTAAATTAATTTGTTTTGTAATTTAATACATATTCTTATTGGATTATATCTATAGTTGTTAAAAATAACAATACTAAAACTAATTAATAGTAATTCTAAAATTATGCTTTATTTATATAATAGTTTTTAATTATGTTCATTAGTTAGAAATACAACTTAAACAATATGTAGGACGTTTTAGCTACACATGCCTAAATTAATGCGTCATTATGCGTGTATTTAGATAAACTCATTGTGGGCGAGCAATACTGTTGCCAATAACTTAACACAAAGCCAAAGTACACATCAATCACTAGCTGCCTGGACCACCATGATAGCTACTGATGTATGACTTGCAAAATATATATATTTATATATTTGACAAGCTCCTAATATTATTCTAAAGTATTTTTACTCCAATCAATTAATAATGAATAATTTAAAAAATATTAACTATACCTAGTATGCATTATTTTATGACGTTTAACTGAAAAATAACACAATTAACTATAAAATATATTGTATTTTTTTCATATTGAAGTGTAGCCAACATTTAGAGATTTATGAGGATAAAATATTTATTTTTTTGGCCATTGTCAAGATGATGACAGTAAAATATAGTGAAAATCTTCAGTCGAGAAAAATGTATTATTTTAAAATATACATATATACACAATAATTAAAATGATTAAAATTACCTTTAAAAATATGAAAAAGTAGGACCCAAAATTTATTATTTTTAGTCACAGAATGTATAGAACATAATATGAATACATTTCTAATGTTATTTAATTTTCTTAAGACTTAAAAATTATTTCTGAATAACATAATTTGACTTACCTGCCACACACCGACTACGGCATTTGCAATAAGGATAAGTAAAATTACAAATGGTTCTACAAAAGCCGTAAGGGTTTCGTTAATGTCGTCGTGTTCTTCAAACAATGCTAATACCTTTAAAAAAAACATAATTGTACAATTAATGTGTATATAGATAGATATATAGATATATATATACGTACACATAAATGTATATTTATGTGTACATTTATGCAACAAATAAATAACTCACAAAAGATATAATTGCAGCTAATAGTAGAATTTTAACTAATAGGTCATCGAACTGTTCGAGGATGAGTTGCCAAATTGTCTTGCCTAAAAATATGTATTTAAACAAAACATTATTTAGTTAATAAAAAAAAAAAAAAAATAAGCATATAAAATATAAACAAAACAATGAGTAGAAGAAATTAGCTGTTATCCTTCTTAAACTTGTTATCAGATAGATCAAAATTTTAACTTGGTAGTTTTATAAATGACTAACAAAAACTAAAAAAACCATTACAATTTTTTTTAAAAGTAGAACAAATTCAAAATATTAAAAAAAAAATAGTTAAAAAATCATAAATATTCTAATGCAAAAAAGTTGAATGAACTATTATAAAAATGTTCACTGAATTCGTTTAACTATCCAATAATTAAAAATAAATTGTGTTTATAATAAAAATTGTACAACATATACATAAAGTTAATTAACAAAAGTTAAATTAAAAATTATCAGTATATATTTTTTTGTGGATAAGTTTTTGTTACTGCTAATATAATGTGCTCAAACATTAAATGTATCATTAGTACATCGTGACAGAATTCAAATTTTACCTTCTTCTGCGGGCAATTCTGAAACAAAAAAAAAGAACAAATTTATTAATTAACATCTTATTAGTTTTCAATGACTTATTTATAGGGAAAATACAATATTATTTAGAACCTACATATTTTGTATTTATTATCTTATTAATATTTTGTAAAATAATTTTTATAAAATTAATTAAAATCTGGTCTATTTAAACAGCACATAATACATTAGGTACAGAAGTATTTTTTTTTTTTATTATTATTATTAATACCCGCAGCATCCATACAGAAGTATTATACAACAATTTATTGTCACATGAGGCTATTTAACCAATACAGAATATTTTTATTGATAAAAAAGTTGTTCATAATATTATCAAGTAAAAAAAAACCCATTTTATTACTTTTTTATTATAATTTGGTTAGTTCAACTATTTATAATTTATTAAACCCTCAGTGCAATCTTTTTTTATCTATTGCTCAAAAGACAGAAAGATTACTACAATAATAAAAAAAAAAACCTTGAAACATTATATATAAATTAATACTAGAGCTTTAAGTACTTGTGTGTACGACATGCACACAACATGGAATGAGATTATTACACAATACAAAATAGCTAGTTAAGAAACATAATACAGCTTTACTGATAACCTTACATTATTTTTTTTTTTAATTAAATTATTTTTCAATTATTTTAATTATAAAAAGATGCCAAAAAAAAAAAAATAAATAAAAATAGGGAAATGGTCTAGAAAACAATAATGGGAGACATTCCCTGGCAAGTAACACTAGTTTTTAGACTAACATAAACATTGATATACTTAATTTTAATAATGAAATAAAAAGTTAAAAAACACATAACTAGAATAATGCTCAACAGCGAAATTCATTATTTTTATACTCGTATGCAATAAAGAGAACTGTGGCATGCCATTAACCGTGTTTTATATAATTACATCACATAATAGAACATGTGGTAGGGCGTGTTACAAATGCATTATAATATCATAACAAATGAGCTATGCCTTTTTTTTTAAAGGTTTCTTTTTAACAAGAACGTAATAACCATTAGAAACAAAAGATACACAACCTCCTCACCTTTTCCTCTAATTTAATAAAAAGAAATATGTTGATATTATCTAATAATTCCTTAATAAAAAGATTAATTAATATTTTAATATTATTTAATAATTACTTTGTTATTTAAGGTATGACTTATTGTCTGCACACAGATAAGAATGTATATTATAATATATAGATTGAAAATCTTATTTCAATTTGATTTGAAAAACCCATAGAAATGAACAGGATATAACGTAGAAAAGGATTTTGAATTATACTGAGCCCTAATCGCGGTCGTGAAACCTTAAAAAAAATATGCTTAACATAAAAAAAGTTTTTATTCTTGGACGTTGATTGAAAATTAATTCTATATACCTACAAGTTGTATACTTCCAAGACTTTTAGTATTCATCATTTTATATCGATAATTTTGAAAACAAATTTGGAACTAAAAGATTTTTCTCTACTAATATATCCTAGTCATAGATTTACATACATTACATAGATTCAAATTTAGCTAGCCTATAGTTTTTAAACTAGATACATTTATAGTATATACATTGTTAGATATTACTTCTGTTTGGACTCTTGGCTCAGTCAACAAACATTTGATAACAGAAAGCAATAACTGTTAAAGTCAAACTTAACGATACCGGTATCAATAGGTAACAAATCTAATTAATAAGGTGATAAATGTCACAGCCTACAAAGAATAGAAAAAATAACACTTAATACATACCATTTGGTCCATATTTGGCCTGGTACCTTTTGACTTGATCTGGGGTAAGTCCTTTTTCTGAATCTACGCCAAAGAAATTTCCAACTTCATCCACGGTTTTCGCGTGGGCGTCCTCCATCGTGGACGGCTTGGTAGCTTAAGACAGCAATCCTTTAATATAACATTCACAACAATCCTATAGTTGAACCCTGTTGACAAAAATTGAGATGTTGATTAGAAATTATATTGTTGTGTCTCTTACTGCAAACGTGTAAAGATATTATATGGCACAGAGTTGGTCGTAATGATTAGCGAGCATTGTTTTTAATAGTTAGAAAAAACCAACTACTGCTTAGTTTTTAATATGAATTAACCAGAGGTTTAACTAAGAGATACATTAAATCAAATATAGTCACTTAAAAGTCAGAAAGTATTTAATAACTAAATATGGAAATAACTATGTCTAAATGTAATTATAATTAAATAATTTAATACAGAGTTCTATTTCTATTCTCAATTGGGTAAATAAATATTTATTTAAAATAATTGTTCACTAATAGATTTATACAAATATTAAGATATAATATAGTTAAATCTACTTTGTGCGTATAGAAAACCGTATTGATTTTATAGTCAGTTTAATAATTGTACAACTAAATATGTTCGACTTGAAACTTCAACAGGTAGGCAACATGTACACCAAATTAAAAAAAAAGTAAATCCATATTATAATCAACATGTTGAATTTATATTTTATCTACAATAAATAACTACAATGTCTAAGTATTATTTGCAATGTCAAATAAAATAAAGATAAAACCTATAATATGGAGCATTGTATAACATACCAGCTGCTCATAAAGCTAATTAATCCGGTTATCATATCTACTGATATGAATTTTATCCCAAAAAACCAGCAGCCTCATGTTATATATACTGTTACCTAATAGTTATCTACAAATTAAACTAGGTACATAGGTTTGTTGTACAAACAAATTCAACATGTAATCTGACAAGTTAGGTCAGCGAGACACAAATTCGGCACCGCGAGTTGACATAATATTGACTCAAACTGTATGAGCCTTATCTCGGCTTTGCTTAAGTCATCAGCATACATTCCTATGGATGACGACTAAACACACGATACCCAGACGTTAACGTGAACCACTGATGAAGGCAATATGGATGCGACCTACGACCGATATGCAACATTGTCTCGAGCTTCCCGACTTTCGGTCGGCGCAGCACAACAATAACGTCACAGAGAACGATCAAAGTACACGGTGTCTTGATATTTATATAAGACACCGAAAAATAAAACGGTAGAGACAAGGAGGCAAAGAAATTATGATCTCAGTCAGCCTCGCGACCGACCGTTGTGACCACGGAAAAACGCGTTTACCTACTTACGGACGGAAAATCTTTAACTAACAATAATATTGAAATATTTGCATTACAGGCGCATAATTAATACATAATACAAAACGTGCGGTCCACTAACCTTTAGAGCGTCCGTGTTACGGCATAATCACGTTAGCGCCCAAATGATGGTGTTATCGGTAATAGGCAATACTGGTGGCAATATTAATATTATACAGGTAAGGACGTGTGTGTGTGTGTGTGTGTGTGTTTCAAGTGGAAAAGAATACTGACCGCGTTCGTTGCGCCTTGATCGGTGACGGCCAAAAAGAAAAGAAAAACCCGAAAAATCACACTTGGCGTAAGCGGGCGCCGGCAAAACTCGATGGGAACAAAACTTACAAAAACTATTTCGAATACCTATTATACTATTACCTATTATTTTTATTCTCTCGTTAACAACGGTAAATTTGCGGGCGACCAATAATTACTATAATACAATAGAGCGCTATATACGACGTACGAAACGGAACGGTAGTGTAAAATTAATATTAAAACTGGCACACGCACTTCCTATGGCAGTGCAAACGTTCGACACTCGGCACCGGTGCGACAGAGACGGACTGACGGCCATTTACCGCGACCGCCAATCGGAACGTTTTACGTACATCGCACACACCACACGGCGGCACGTTATCAGAAGCCGGTTTACCTCTACCCGCCCCCTCCCTACCCCCCACCCCCGCCGACCGACGACGTTGCCTCTATGCGCCCCACCGTTATCCGTCTTGCCAAAATGATAATAATAATATAATTTCATTATAACAATTAAATAGGTGTATTATTTTAATATTAATTATTATATCATACACTATTGTTTTTAGTTTTTACGTAACCGATTTTTTATACAATTTTATTCTATTTCGTTTTATCGACAGTCGACCGGTCGTCGATATTATTACAAAACGATCGTAATAACGATACGAACAATTTTATAGGTATACCTAATATCATAATATATTATTAAACATACTTTACCGCGTTCGTTTGCCAACGACGTACGATTTTCGCTACGGCGCACACCTATTACAGCTCGTGAGTTACCTAATTAGCTAGCTGGTCTACCGGCTATTATAATATTATTAATAATATTGGGTATTATCGAGGCTAATTTTTTTTTTTTTTTTACGGACAGCGTGTTTGCGTTTTTCCTAGCTGGCTATTCTACGGAATAGTTAACGTTGTCAATCGAAAATTCGTTATTTGTCTAACGGTGGACAAAAAATAAATAAAATAACGTGTACGTTCTCTCCGTGTTCTTTATCAGAGGACAGAGATTGTCGAACGTCATTAGTAATTATTATTGTTATCATAACGTACGCACATACACGTTCGACGTGTCATTGCTGACGATAATAGCGAATCCAGCGACAGCTGTACCGTAATGGCACAATGTGACACGAATAATAATTAATAGGGATTCGAATATTCGATAGCGAGAAAACATATTAACCAGAACCAATAGTACAATAAAAGCCAAGGAGATTCGATAAACGCAAAAAATACCGATGGATTTTTTCTACCGAAAAATAATTGTAATATTATTATTATTATTATTATTTTAGTAGTTACGTCATTTCGGCGAAAACCGTACGGCATAGGGAAAATATTTTGGCAATTGTTTTTAATGTTGTTTAAATTTGGAACACTTTAATTAAAGTTTTTTTTTTCCGAAATCTATTATATGTTTGATTGGAGAACGCCAGAAATAAGAGGAAATAAACATTAATGTATACCTCTATAGATTAAACACTACTAATATTTTTTTATGGAACACATGTCGTTGGTGTTTTGCCAGTAAAGATAATTTCGAGCGAAAAAAAAAAAAAAAGGAAAAATCGTACTTAAGTATTTTTAAAGTCTGCTCTGTAAAACGATATTTCGATATTATATTATATGACCTGTGCCAATTGTTTTCTTTACTCACGTGAAACGCCGCATGAATTTATAATTTTAGATCAAACGGTAATTTTTTTTCTTTTTTAATGATCCGTTTTGCCCGATAGTACCTATTTATACTGCCTATTTTAGCATAATGATAAATTATAAATATACTAATAATTATTCAAATGCCGGGCGTATCAGTTATGAACATGATACAAATGATAAATAAATCCATTATTATTATGATAAATGATGACGCTATAAAATAGTTTATAAGGTAATTAACGGAAATAATGTTTACCTACAAAATATGTCTTCAACTTTAAATAAGTACAACGTAATGCGTATGAATTAAACGATTTGGTAAATTTGCAGATTGTATGTAAATGAAAAATAAATAAAATTTTACAATAAGATAACAAAACTTAACAACCGAAAATCGCGAAGTCTTTACATCTACTTGGCTTTGGTTCGACGCCGAAAAGATATTTTTTAGATAATACTGGCGCGCGACTGGTGGCATTTGAACATTAGGTACACCAATTTTTTCTAGTCAAACGTAGGATAACCGTATATTACATAATAATATTATTCTTGTTATTATGCATCGTTCGGGCGATAAATTACCCGAAAACATATGTTATTTACCTAAATAATAAAATAACCATAATTATATTCTGAAATCGCGTTTATTATTTTTTTTTTGCCTTAATGTACATACTAATTATCGATAAAATTCAAAATGCCGTTTAGACGGAGTTGTCGACTATTGTCTCTGTTCTTTTAATCGACCATTAAGCAATAATAATTTTAAAAAAAAATTAAAATAATAATAATTACTCACTTTTTATCCGGGTTCTCGAGAACTGAGTTTGCGTTTGGTTCTGTTCCGTTGACGGCCGGTGGATAATATACACTTTTGATACTATACAGGCAAACGCGAGATGCAAAAACCACTAACACTCTTAATAAATAAATTAAAAATAATAAAAAAAAAAAAATTCAGAGTAGCATACACGACGACGTGTAAGTACTACTCTCGTGTCGGCGGCACAAGTATGAGATTTGTTCGAGCTGCAACGTATGCATGAGATCCGAGGGACTGACACGGTGATCAAAAATAGTCGCCCTCGTCGCTGCTGGCCAGTCGCTGATTAAAAATATTTTTTTTTTCTTACCCGACAATTTTGAATGCCAATTTTTTTTTTTTTGCTCTACGCGACACCATGCACATGAGCCCCCACCCACTCGAAAATGCCTGTTTGGAACGAGAAGAAAGAAAATGCTTTCTTTTGAAAAAAATTTTTTTTAATTTTCAACCACCTTTGCTTAAAAGTTAAGTGCAGTTTAACGACACTAAAACAATAACAATAACGAAGAATAAACAATAAAAATTTTTCGCTGAATCCGAATCCATCCTGAACACAGAATTTATCTCGTTTATTAGTTTTCTAATCGCCTCTAAAACTTAAACAACTATAAAAAAAAAAAAAAGTAAAGATCTATTTGGGTTCAAATAATTATTCAAACGTACAGAACACGCTAAACGTACCAAATCCCCGTAAAACAAGTATTTTTATTCTTGACTTCTTGTCCCAAAATTGTACCCACAACACAGTGGACAATTTCATCTGTTAACATTCGTTAAAAAACATGTTTACAGTTAGCAACAGCTCTATGCAAGCTTCAACCTAAAATCTATTTTTTTCTACATTAAATTTGTGTTTAGCTATTGTTATATTATATTGTTTCTGTAAATACTTAATGGGACGTAATAGGAATAAAAAGTGCATCACGCATTTTATTTATATTCGCATTTAATGCCTTTTATAATGTGTACAGAATGGACATACTAGCCTTAACAGTTTGTATTATAGGTACTTAAATTATCGTTTATTCTATTGATTGATGTTATGTTCAGTGGCCAGTGCTCATTAACAGCTGCGTCGTCCTTAAATGTGGTTTACATTTTGATAATAAACGATTACCGCGTTTTATGAAATAATTTATGAGATAAATTAGCGATAAGACGAGTTAACCTGTGGTTTTAAGTTAAAGCGTTATTTAAAAATCGCGAACATAATGTGTAATAAATAAAAATAAAGTGAAAAACATTTATCAACTCTCAAGTTGTGAAACATGAAATTTTAAACAAAAAATATAGAAATTGATTTTAATTGTCGTTGAAAAAAATTGCAAAAATATTTTGGAGATGCCGGGGATCGAACCCGGGGCCTTTCACATGCAAAGCGAACGCTCTACCACTGAGCTACATCCCCGCACGTATGTCAAGTGAGAAAACAGCGTCATTTAAGTAAGTACATAGCCATAGGGTATGGAAATCAGATTTTGTTCAATAGTAATAATGTTATGAAGTAGGTTATATTAGTTTATATAATATATATTAGTATGTGTTTACGAAACAATGAATATAATTAACTCCGAATCCATGTACCAAGTATGAAGTATAATATTCGTCAAACCACCTTGAAAACTTGATTACCCATATTATATACCCGTATTTATATTATTAAGAAAAAAACCTAGCCGCTCTGATAACAAATATATCTACCAATTTTGTAATTGTTAAATATTACATTAAAAAAACAAAAAATTATTAAAATATTTGCTGTGACAAAACATACTTTGCAGAATTGTAGAATAGGTAAATTTAATTTTTATTTTAAATCTAAAAACCATGTAGTAAAAATAAAATGTGGGTAATTAACAAACTACTTAAGTATAATATACTATTTTTACAAATTAACAAAATGTTATAAATAGAACACGTTCAGTAGTTGGAGTATAGTACTGACCTAGGCTGAGCTACATAACAAAATATTTGTATAATTTTAACAAAAAAATAAAAATAAAATGATAATTTGTACAACTGTACATTATAACTATTGTCTATTGTTACCTACCACTGACGGAGTTATTTAGTTCAGTGTTAAAAAATGTGTTTATTTTTTCCACGGATTGATTCAACATTTATTATTACAATTATTATTATGTAATTAGTTAAAATCCGTGTCCCATATTAGACGATCCCAGGATGTCGCAATAAATTCAACGTTTTATGTTAAATAGAAATTGTATTGTTATTTGTTAAACAATTTTGAATAATTATAAATTACAAATTAACCAATATTAAAATTTTGTTTTATTTAGAATTAATTATTAGTAGTTATTTTAAGCAAAATTTTTTGGAGATGCCGGGGATCGAACCCGGGGCCTTTCACATGCAAAGCGAACGCTCTACCACTGAGCTACATCCCCAGTTGACTTTTGGACTTAAAAACGTAACGATTTAAGAAATCGTGGAATTTTTTTTCAACAGTTTATTTGGTACCTAATAACCTAAGTAGTTTCATAATAATTAATAACAGCTGCTGGTTGCTATACGTTATAAATTATAATAATGTAATCGGCGTAGAGACGACATCGCCCAACCGGTTTTTCAATATTATAATATAAATGTACATATTTTATATATTATTATATTGCTAATTATTGTTTATAATAGGTACGAACAGGGTTAACTGTTGAATATATTTACACTACATTTTATCAAGTACCATTTACCAAATTGATTTTTTTAAACAGTTAATTTTTTCGGTAAACTCGGTAAGTTATCCAATACTTTCGAACAAAAAGCCAGTCCATTCTTATAGTAT